GGAGGGGCTCTCCTACCCCAGGTCCTGTCCCCCACCCCGCTGGGGTTGTGCCCTTGCTTCCTCAGTGGCCTTTCCTGGTGCTGGGCCGTCGGTGAGCCGGGCCCAGGCCTCACCACTCTGTCTGCTGCCCCTCCCAGGCCACTGCTGTCACTGTGCGCTTCTATGGGCTTGTCCACTGGGAGGACCCCATGGACGAGACCCTGGGTCCCATCCCCTGCCACTGCTCACCCCCCGAGGGCATCATCACCAAAGAAGGCATGCTGCATTACAAGGCGGGCACCTCCTACTTGGGCAAAGAGCACTGGAAGACATGCTTCGTGGTACTCAGGTGGGCACGCCCGCAGCGCCGGCCTCGGGCTCAGCCTGGAGCTCGTTGGACTGGCCGCTGAGGAGAGAAACCCGAGGGGGCCTCCTTCCACCCCCATGAGGGTTTTAGAGCCCACCTGCCTTGGGATATTAGAGCTTCTGTGTAAAGGCTGCCATCTTCAGGGCCCAAGGAATCCTGGGGCATCAGGTGTAGATGTGGGCTGGGCTGCTGCCTCCCACTGTCCCGGGCTGCTGAGGTGGTAGTGTGCCCTCCTGTGCCTCTGCTTCCTTCTTCACCCTCCATTTCAGTCCCCAGCTTGCAGGGTGTCCCTGGGATTTGGGCTCTACCTGGCTCTCAGTTTCAGGGACAGGCCTCACCCCTGCTCTGTTGTGCCCCTGCAGCAACGGGATCCTCTACCAGTATCCCGACCGCACTGATGTCACCCCCCTGCTCTCGGTGAACATGGGGTGAGTGCCCTGGCGATGCGGGGCTGGGCAGCTGCGGGGCCTCGTGTGGCCCGCCGCCCCCAGGGTGAGGACTCTGGCTAAGCGTGTGGCCCAGAGCTCCTGTCCTCCCTGGCTAGGGCTGATACCCGCCCTTATCCATCAGCTCAGCTCACCCCACTCAGCCGCACCCCATCCGGCAGCCCTGACCGGTAGCCGGGGGTCTGCTGATCTCTGAGGGGCTACAGGATCCTGAGCCAGGGGAGGAGGGATGGTTTCCTATCAGGGAGGGAAAGATCTGGTCAGGCAGGGGAAAGGGTCACTCGCCCTGGGAAGTTCCCGACCTGATGGAAGACGGACACACACATGCTTGGAGACAGCCTTGGGCCCCAAGAGGGAGTATGAGTGCATGTGCCCCGATAAAGGGAGGGCCAGAGCCCGGAGCCCCTCCTCACCCCTCGCCTGGCCAGGCCACAATAGCTAGGAGGGTCCTGGCGATTCTGGAAGCAGAAGTTGTTCCACAGAAAGGGGTGGGCCTGGCCAGCAGCTACCAGCCTCTCCTGAGAGTCCCGGGGGTCTGCACTACCCTCCCAGGTCCTCCTGCCTCTGGGACGCGGGGGCAGGCACGCTGTGTCCGCACGCCTTGAGCCGCCCCCGCCTCCTTGCTCCCCTTTCACCCCTCCTCGTCTGGCCCAGGGGGGAGCAGTGCGGTGGCTGTCGGAGAGCCAACACCACGGATCGGCCCCACGCCTTCCAGGTCATCCTCGCCGACCGGCCGTGCCTGGAGCTGAGCGCTGACAGTGAGGCCGACATGGCCGACTGGATGCAGCATCTCTGCCAGGCCGTGTCCAAAGGGGTGAGCGCCCCCGGCCTGCACTGTCCCCCAGCCTCCCGACCCGTGCGGGATCCCCGGGTCCCTGGCCCAAACCCTCACGCTCGGGGAGCAGCTCGTGGGAACCAAGATGGGGACGTCCAGGGGACAAACCGGGAGTGGACCCTAGAGCTCAGGACACCCCCACCGCCTCCCCTGTCCCCACCTGTGCTTCTGAGGTGGGCGGAGCCTGTCTGACCCCTGAACAGAGGGGCCGAAGGGCTGGCCGGGCCGGAGTGTGGTGTCCTGGTGCCGGCCAGCCCGGAAGAGCTCCAGCTTGCCTCTCCCCTCCCCTCCGCCCATGCCCTTCAGGTCATCCCCCAGGGGGTGACTCCCAGCCCCTGCATCCCCTGCTGCCTAGTGATCGCCGCCGACCGCCTCTTCACGTGCCACGAGGACTGCCAGACCAGCTTCTTCCGCTCCCTGGGCACAGCCAAGCTGGCCGACGTCAATGCTGTTGCTACAGAAGTGGGCAAGGAGTACTGTGTCTTGGTGAGCCGCGTGGGTGGGGGAGGGGCGGGGAGAGGGGGCGGGGCGGGGGCAGGCCCTGCAGAAGGGACGCTGTCTCTGCTCACCTGGGGACCCGCTCGCTCGCCCCAGGAGTTTTCCCAGGACAGCCAGCAGCCCCTCCCACCCTGGGTCATCTACTTGAGCTGCACATCTGAACTGGACCGATTCCTGTCTGCACTCAGCTCTGGGTGGAAAACTATCTACCAGGTACCTAGCTGCCCAGGGCCCCGAGGAGGGAGTGGAGGCGCTCCCTGGGGAGGGGGGCCCCCGCACAGTACAGAGGCAGGAATTGGGCTTGGGGACAGCACCATACCCATAGCTCTGGGACAGACTCCGGCCCCGTGCCCCTGAGGCCACAGCTCATAGTTGAACTTGGGAAACGCCGCTGCTGACCTTGGTCCCACAGTGCAGGGGGACCCGGGGTTCCCACAGCTTCCCGAGAAAGCAGGGTCCTGGACCACAGCCCTCAGATTACCCCGGAACCCCCACAGGTCGACCTCCCCCACAAGGCCATCCAAGAAGCCTCCAACAAGAAGTTTGAGGACGCCCTGAGCCTCATCCACAGCGCCTGGCAGCGGAGCGACAGCCTGTGCCGGGGCAGAGCCTCCCGGGACCCCTGGTGCTGAGGCGAAGCCGGTCGGCATCCCGGGGCCAGGAGGGGCCTGCCAGCAGCACCCGCTGTCCTCACTCTGCCCTCGTGCGGCTTGGGGCCAGGGTTGCCCCTGTGTTCCATGGCCCACTCCTGCCCTGGGGGACAGAAGCACCGACGGGGTCTCGAGCCAGGGTCTCTGCCCTCGCAGGGATACAGAACGGGTGCTCCACGCTCTCGGGCTTCCCGCCTGGCGGTGGTGACTGGAGAGCGCTGGGGCGGAGGGTCTGAGCCCTATGGGCTCTGCGTACGCGCGGCATGTACGGATGCGTCTGCCTCTCCAGGATGGCGATGAGAGTCATGCCGACTCTGCGGGGAGCAGAGGACTGAGAGGGCAGGAGTCCCCTCTTCCCCTCCTGGGTCAGGGGTCCCGACCAAGGCCTGACCATCCTCGTTCACTTTTGAACACTCAGCTGGCCGCGCAGGGAAGCCGGACGCTGGGGCCTCCATGCATGCTCCCTCGCTAACGCCGTCCCCAGCCGCACTGCTGTCTGCCGGCGAGGGCGCCCGGCTGGGGGCTGGGGCTGGGGGGCTGGGCAGCCCCTCCCTGGCTGCCCGGAGGCCCTGTGTGTCCAAGGCACCCACCTCTCCCCAGACTGCAGTGCCAGGAGGACCCAGGAGTCAGGCTGTCTCCTTCTGCCGGGAGTGGGGCAGAGCCCACCAGTCTGGCATCCCGGAGAGTGCCTCCTGACTGTCCCCTGCTTGGCTGGAGCCGGACCCTCTGGGGGAAGGGGTCAGATGGTCTGGGTTTGGTGTTTTGTTTTTGTTTTTTTTTTTTAAATAAAATAGACACGTTATATTGCCAAGACTTGTCACTGGCCCTTTGTGACCCGGCTGGGGGTGGGAGATCTCTGCACACACACACCCCGCACTGGCTGCCTCGCCCCTCCCCGTCTGAAGCCGCTCTGCCATTCATTCCTGATTTTCTTCCGTCAGCTGCTGTGTGCTGACGCTGGGCGCCGCGGGCGCTCACCCACTGCCCCGGTGCTGCTCTCTGGAGCTCAGGCCCTAAGGGTTTCTTGGCCTGACCTTTGCTCTCCTATTTCCTGCAGCGCCCAGGGCAGGGGAGGACACTCCTCTAGTCCCAGGGCCTGTCTCCACGGCCAGCCTCCCCAGCTCTGGGGATGAGGGCCGGCCATTTGGGATAAACCCGAGAGTCCAAGCTGTCCCCAGACTGTTTGTTGAGCTGCTGCCCTGGGGGCTGACCAGAGGGTGCCGCCAAGCTTAACAGGTGCAGGCAGGGGAGGGGAGGGGAGCCTGAGGCACTCGAGCACTTGGCAATGCCCCCCGCCAGGCCCTCACACCTGGGCCGAAAGGAGTGGGTGCTGGGAAGGGTGGGCATGGAGCCTGTGGAGCATGGAGGCTTCGGTGATGCGGGGTGTCCATGGCAGAAGGGAGATGCCTTGGGGACAGAGACCAGGGTGGTGCTGGCTCCCAGGGGTGTGAGGTCCCTTCTAACACAGAGCCATTTCCACACCAGGGCCTCTCCTCCAGACACCTACAGCCCAGAAGGGGCTCCCACCAGAAGGGGGGCAGGACTGGGGGGCAAGTCTGCATGGGGCGATGACCAAAGCCTCGGGCCACTCCTTGAGACACATGGCTCAACGGCCCTGAAATCATCTGAGGCAGGGACGGAGAGAAAGGAGCCAGAAGGGGGGGGGGGGGGGGGGGGAGGGGATATGGGCCATCTTTTACCGGTGAAGCCCTGTGCTAGGCGTGCTGTTCATGCATCTCTAGCCCTCCAAAAAACCTCTGAGACAGATACTAATATTCCCATGTTACAAATAGACTGAAGCTAGCAGAGGGAGTGATTGCCCAGGGTCACACATGACAGCGGAGCCTGGGATTCAAAACCAGTTCCACAGGGCCCGAGAAGCCCTTTGCCGCCGCTGCTCTCCCTGACAGTGGAACCATAGACCGTGGGAGCCGGACTGGAAGACTGAGGCTGGGGAAGGGGAGCTGCAAAGATGGTGCAGGGTGGTTGTGGACAGTGGCTGCATTGCCTGGGCACGTGGCTCCGGGACCCTCCCTGGGCAGTCGCCCCTGTGCCCTGGGCTCTGAGCTGCAGCAGGACTGACTAGGCCAGAAGTACCCTTTGCTCCAGGGCCAGAGGGAGGGCAGGAGGACAAGAAAAGCTGGAGGAGGTGTCCCGGCTGACCCGCACCCTCTCCCCCGCCCCAATCAGCCCCCTCCCTGTCCCAGGTGACCTTTTCCCCAGATCCCAGGGTCCAGGCACACCCCCGCTGGGAGGTGTGGAGAACAGAGAGAGCTGGGATTGGTCCGAGCCAGCGGGGGCGTGTCCTGGGCTCCGCCAGCCCCAGTGGCTGAGCAGAGCAGGTGGACTCCCCAGATAGACCAGGGGCCACCCGGCCTACCCGACTGGGACCTCTGCCCACCAGACATGGCCCCAGGCCCCCTAGATCCCCAGCCCTGTGGCGGGGCAGGGGTGCAGATAGCCTAAGCGCCCCCACCCTAGGGCCTGTGCCCAGGCCCCTGACCTGGGCACGGCCAGCCTCAGGAACAGAGGCCATGGAGACGGTTGCCCCAGCTGTGGACCTGGTGCTGGGCGCCTCGGCCTGTTGCCTGGCCTGCGTCTTTACCAACCCACTGGAGGTGGTGAAGACGAGGCTGCAGCTGCAGGGGGAGCTGCAGGCCCGCGGCACCTACCCACGGCCCTACAGGGGCTTTTTGGCCTCGGTAGCAGCTGTGGTCCGTGCAGACGGGCTGTGTGGCCTGCAGAAGGGACTGGCCGCCGGCCTCCTTTACCAGGGCCTCATGAATGGCGTCCGCTTCTACTGCTACAGCCTGGCGGGCCAGGCTGGCCTCACCCAGCAGCCTGGTGGCACAGTGGTCGCGGGCGCGGTGGCTGGGGCACTGGGAGCCTTCGTGGGGAGTCCTGCTTACTTGGTGAGTGCCTTGTCTCCAACCTCCACCACCCCATGACCCAGCTCTCCAGTGGGGAAGGGAGGGTGGGCGCCTCTGGAACCTTCCAGGCTGGCTCTGGTACCAGGCGGGGTGGGGCGGGCTGGGTGGGGATGCTCCCCGGAACATCCCTGCTTGGGGGTTGGAATCTGTCCCTGGGTGCAAAGCCCCGGAGCCTTGCCTCATGCTCCTTCTCCTGGGGTCCCTGCTCCACTGGGCCTGAGTCAGGGGAGGGGGTAGAGGGTGACAGGGCAGGTGCTGGCGTGGTCACCTGTCTTCCTATGTGGCCCAGCAAGTTCAGAATAAGTGGGGCCTCTACGGACTAGGCCAGAGGCTGGATAGTCACCATCCCACTTAGTCCTCGGAACAGTGGGAGCGGGCAGGCTGGGAGAAGGTCACGTGACTTGCCCCAGGTCATACCGAGATGTAGACCCAGGCCGACTTCAGAGCCTCCCCACAAAACCCTGTTCCCCATGCCCCCTAAGCAGTGGGTGTGGGCTCGTGGAGGTCTGGAGGTCGGGCCGCTGCTTGTCCAGTCCCTCTGTCACATTTGCTCCCACAGGTCAAAACGCAGCTGCAGGCCCAGACGGTGGCCGCGATGGCCGTGGGGCACCAGCACCATCACCAGGTAGGGACTGTCACTCCCCAGAGCCCCCTGGGCTGGGTGGGCTGGCAGGGGCTGCCCAGTGACCCGGTGCCTTCTCCCCACAGAGTGTTTTGGGTGCCTTGGAGACCATCTGGCGGCAGCAGGGCCTGGCAGGGCTATGGCGGGGCGTGGGTGGGGCCGTGCCCAGGGTCATGGTCGGCTCAGCCGCCCAACTGGCCACCTTTGCCTCTGCCAAGGCCTGGGTGCAGAAGCAACAGGTGAGGAGCCAGGGACACCCGTGCCCACCCTCAGACACGACAGAATCGGGCCATCTGCCTCTGTTCTCCCTGTGTGGGCCCTCATCCCATCCCGACATCTCCAGCTGGACGCCCACCTAGGCAAGGCCAGTGGGAGGGGCAGACAGGGTGCCTGAAGAGAGCTGAGGACCCTGGCTCTGCCCTTGTGCCCAGCAGGGGTGGGGGCCGGAGCCCTGATGCCGTGAAGGAGCTGGGCTGGGGAAATGGCTGGAGGGGCCTGGTCTGCTCCCTTTCCCCCAACTCTTCCAGCCCACACGTACTGGGAGGGTAGGGTGGGCACCATGGGGGTGGGGGGATGGCAGCAGCTGCAGGGGTCAGAGCCTGTCCCATCCCCACAGTGGCTCCCAGAAGACAGCTGGCTGGTGGCCTTGGCTGGAGGCATGATCAGCAGTGTCGCCGTGGCCGCGGTCATGACCCCCTTCGACGTGGTCAGCACACGGCTCTACAATCAGCCCGTGGACGGAACTGGCCGAGTGAGCAGGGGAGGGGGCAGGGGGGATGCGGGGAGCTGGAGAGCATGCCCCAGTGTGCGCACACACACACACACACACACACACAGCCAGGGACATGCAGATGTGTGACATACACGAAGACACATCGATTTGGCCGGTTGGCTGAGCACTCACGTCCCCGGCACGGGCTAAGCAGGTTCACACCTGCGCTTTATTCTACCCTCACAACCACCTTCATTTTCCTGCTGAGGAAACGGAAGATCGGGGCAATCTAGTGACGTGCCTGAGGTCACCCAACTAGGCCTGACCCCACGGCCTGCCACGTACCGTTGCACAGGTTGTGTTCAACACAAAGGTGCCCTCCAAAGGCTGAGATGGGGACGAAATCCACTCGCATGCCTCTAGCCAAATCTTGGGCCCCGGGCGTGGGCTGTGGCTACCTGGAGGAAGAGGTCTCATCTTAAATGTCACAGCCTAAGGGGTCACCTTTCTGTAAGTTGCCTGCTTGGGGACAGTCTCTCTGCTGATGTACCGCAGAGGCCCCTCCACACAGACACACGCCCACTTGTGCCAGCCAAGGCCCCATGACCCCCGCAGTGACCTCCACCCTGCCTCTGTCCCCAGGGCCAGCTGTACGGTGGCCTCGCTGACTGCCTGGTGAAGATCTGGAGGCAGGAGGGCCCACTGGCCCTCTACAAGGGTCTGGGCCCAGCCTACCTGCGCCTGGGCCCCCACACCATCCTCAGCATGCTCTTCTGGGATGAGCTCCGGAAACTGGCCGCGCGGAGCCAGCACCAGGGCACCTAGGCGGCATCGCTCGTCCCCATCTCCTGACACAGCCCGGGACCCGGGAGCGACGGCCCGCTCCGGGTGGGAATGGCTGTCTTAGAGGCCACAGGCCCAGCCCCACCACACATCCGAGGAGAGTGTGGGCAGCTCCGGTCAACCCAGACCCACGGCCCGCTCGGGGCCGGAGCCGCTTGCTCTCTGTTCTCTGGCAAGTTCTCTTCCCTCTGCCTGGGTTACCTCATCCCAGAGCCTTACCCGTGATTATAATAACCGCTCCGGGTCGTGACCGTCACCCCGAGTGGGGTCACTCACATGCATCGGCTTGCTTGGTCCTCAAACAGTGCGAGACGGTGAAATCCTCTTGTAGCAGGGGAAGCTGAGGCTCACCAGGTAGAAAGCCACACAGCTTTGAAGGGGCAGAACCAGCACTGGAACTTAGCTCTGCCCAGCCCAGACTGGTGCCCCTGGCAAGAGCCAGGACCACAGGCGCTGGAGAGCCTGCGTGTCACTATACACATGGGAAGGCCTCAGGCTTCCATAAAAAAGCCCCTCAAGCCAGGGGTTCAAACAACAGATGCTGTCCACGGTCTGGGAGCTGTAAGTCCAAGGTCAAGGTGTCAGCAGGGTTGGTTTCTCTGAGCCCTCTCTCCCTGGCGGCCCAGGGTCCTCACACGGTCTACCTTCTGTGTCTGTGTCCGAATCCCTTCTTCTAGGGACACTGGTCGTGCTGGACTAGCTCCCGCCTTAATGTCCTCCTTTTAACATAATTCCCTCTTCAGAGACCTCATCTCCAAGTACAGTCACAGACTGGGGGTTAGAACTTCAATGTACAAATGTGGAGGAGGGGGAGACATAATTCAGCCTGTGACATCCACCGAGAGCTTTTACGAGGGCCTCCTAGATGCCCAGCACTGTGGGCGTTTGCACAAATCCTCATGACCGTTCTGAAAGGGAGCTCTCGCAATGCCCATTCTTCAGGTGAGGAGACTGAGGCCCGGGGCAAGGAAGTGACTTGCTTAGGGGAGTCGCAGAGCCAGGTGTCCTCATCTGGGGCCCTCTCCCCTGAGCGGAAGCCACACTTCCCTCGCTGAGCGTGTTCCTCAGGCCCGCGCTGACCTTTGTGCTTCAGGAATGGATGCTGAGTCCCTGGAAGGGACAGGACTGGCCCAGGTCAAGCAGCCTGAACCGCCTACCCCGCCACACCCCACGTCTGCTCTTCCCAGGGGTACCCCTAGCACACACTCCAAACCAATAAAGTTTTCTACTTTGTTTACTTCAACGACTCCCTTCTGCTGGCAGTCTCCGTCTCCCCCACCCCTGAACCCCCACCCTTGGCTCTCTCTCCTCGCTCTGGGGAAGGAGGATCCAAAAGTCTTGGGGCAGGCCAGCCGCACCCCACAGCGTCCAACCGATGGAGGCCTGCCACCTAGCGGCCAGGGAGAGGACCGTCGGGGAAGGACGCACAGTGGCTGAGGGAGAGGAGGGCACCCCACCTGGATCTCAGCCTCAGGCTGTGGGAGGATAGGGGCCCTGCCTCCAGACCTCAGGCTGTGGGGGGACAGACCACCTTCCAGACCACAGGCGGAGGGGCACTGAGCCTCGGGCTGTGGGGACACAGACGGCCCCTTCCAGAACTGGGACTGAGGGGCAGAGCCCAGAAGCAAGGCTGGGGGCCAGGGCAACAATGACGCCCTGGGCTTCAGGAAGGCGAAACAGTGGGCATCCAACTTGAGCGGGGACAGAGGCCAGGACCAGTGCTGGAGACGGCCCCCACGTCGTGCTGCCCAGATGTGGAGCCCCTGAGCAGCGGTTGGCTCTCAAAGCCCCACAACCCTGCGGCCCTGAAGGTTGAGGTCCCTGCCTCCCCTCCCCGCCCCCCCTTCCCCTCTCCTCCCCTCTTCCCCCCTCCCACTTCTGACCTCACTCTTCTGGGACTTCTGACCCCCCCACTTCTGACCGCTCCCCTCCCCCACCTCTACCCTCCCCCTCCCCGCCCCACCCCTCCCTCCACGGACACCTTTGCCCCATGACGTTGATCTCTCTGGTGCAGATCTGGCGGGAGGCTGGGGCTGGGGCTGATCCCAGCGGCCATGTTCTCCCTGCCATCCCTCCCCTCCTGGCTCCCCAGCCTCCCCTCCCTCCAGTGGGGATCCGGCCTCCTCGACTCTGTCCTTCAAGGTGAGCGCCGCCTCCTCCTCCCACGCAGCCCCACCCCTCCACCCGCTTTGGGCAGCACAGGGTGGACCCCCCACGTGGGTCTCCCACCACCTCTCACCCTGCCAAACTCACTTGCTCTCCCTCCTGCCCTCAGGCCTCATCGGGGCCAGTGGAGTCTCGGTCCTGAACAGCCTCCTGAAGGTCTACTTCTTTGTGAACTGTGCCAAGTGAGTGTCTGCCAATCCAGCCCACTCCCCAGCCCTCCGGGAGCTCTGACCCCTCCGGGAGCCCTGATCACCCACCCCCCTGCTGAATTCGGCCTCCAGTGGGGAGGACTGAAGGGATGAGAACCTGTCCCCAGAGAGAGTTTCTGGGGGCCCAGGGCCGCTGCCTGGGCCGAGGCTGGGTTCTGACTCTGCCCACGCCCGCTCTGCACCACAGCAACCCCGAGCGGCGGCTGGAGAAGCAGCGGCTGCAGGCCCAGTGGGCCTCCCTGGAGACCGTGCACCTAGCCGGGCTGGCCTTGATCCTGACCGTCCTGGGGGCCCGGGTGGCTGCCCTGGTGGTTCTTGAGTTCTCCCTCCGAGCTCTGTCCACACTGCTCTCCCTGGGCCAGGTAAGACTTCCGGAGGTGGTGAGTCACTCCCCAGCCCTGGGCCCTAGTTTTCACCGGAAGCCGGGCCTAGCGGGAACACCCTGTCTCCTCACCACCCCTTTTCTGTAAGGCTGAGACTGGAGAGTACAGATTGCCTCCTGGGACTGGGAGCACAGACCCCTGCTCACTCGCTCTCGCAGTGGCCCGCAGAGGCCGCAGCCCCAGTCCAAGAAGAGAGCAGTTGCAGCTCCCGGCTGTGGTGCCCCCCACGTGCCAGGCAGGCGCCCGCCAGCTACTTTGGGTGCGTCATCTCGCGTGTCCTCACAGTCCTAGGGGGCAAAGCTCTGCTGTGACCTGCTTCTCATAGGTGGGGAGACTAAGGCTCAGAGAGGGTGAGCGACTTGTCCCAGGTCAGCCAGCAAGAGGTAGAGTCAGGCTTTGAACCCAGGTCTTCAAGGCTCCGAGCCACCAACCTTCAGTAAGCACGTGGGTCCCAAGTAACATTCGTGAGGGAAATCAAGCAGAAAGAAATGGTCCCAGGAGGGCTTGACTTGAAGGCAATATTCCTTCTTGGGAAACGATTCCCAAGGTTCCTTCTGGCTCCAGCCTCCTACAGAGTGGTCTGTGTGCCTGGTGAGAAGCAGCCGGAGGCCTGAGCACCCCCAGCCCTCCCCACTGTGCCCCTCTTCTGCTTCCGCCCCGCACAGGGCTCTGAGAGGGAGAAGCTGCGGCTATAACCCCCAGCACCCCCCACCACATCCCTCTTCTACTCCCGCCCCACGCAGGGCTCTGAGAGGGAGAGGCTGCAGCTGTACCTCGTAAGCCAGTACTCCCTGGGCTGTGGGCTGACCTGCGGCCTGAGCTTCCTGCAGGAGGGTGCCCCTCACCGCACCTTGAACTTGCTGCTGGGCCTCTGGCTGGCCACCCTGCTGAGCACGGGTGCCAGGCGCCTCTGCCGCCACACCTGCCAGCTGTATGAGCTACACAGCAGCCAGCACTACTGCGGGGTCTGCCTGGGCCTGCTGGCCAGCGCTCACGGCCTCCCCAGGCTGCTGGCCCGCGCCCTGGCTGTGGCCTTTGCTGTGGGTGACCTGGCGGCTGTGGCCCTCATCAACCGGGACTTCCCGACCACCTCGGATGCCGTGCGCTTCTGGACGCCGCTCGTCATCTGCTACGCCCTGCTGGTCATCTACATGCAGGGTAGGGGCCACCACTGGGATCCTGGGGGGCAGCTGGGCCACTCGGCACTCACATCCCGTGGTCTGGCCTGGGTGCAGCACCACGCTGGGACCCGGGGAGGCCACCTACGGTTAGACCCCACCTCTACCATCCCAGGGCGCCTGTCTACCAACAGAAGCCACAGGGAACAGCTCGGGGAAGGGTGTGTCGTGCTGTGAGGAGATGGAGCTTGAATAGGTAGGAGCCCAGCAGGAAAGGTGTGAGGTGGCGGGCAGGGGGAACCACACATGCCAAACCCCAGAGGTGAGAGAAGGCATGGCACCATCAAACAATTGAAAAAAGTTGAGTGTGGCTGTCACCCCAAGGGAATGGGGAGAGGATGAGGCTGGCCAGCTGCATGGGGGCCTGATGGGGAGCCCTCATCAGCCAGGCTGGCCATCTGCTGAGAAACCATTACAGGTTTTTAGTAGGGGAGAGCAACCTGGTCAGATGTGGGCTATAGGAAACACCATTGGCTGCAGGGGAGAGATGGGGTAAAAGGGGCAGGACAGGGAAGTGCAGTCAGGCAGAGAGCAGCAGGTGCAAAGGCCCTGAGGTGGGAGTAAGCTTGGTGTGCTTGCTGAACAAAAAGAAGTCCTGGACGCCTCCAGGATAGTAAGGAATGGGAGCAGGTCAGAGGTGAGGTGAGGTGGGTTGGAGAGCAGGCATCCTATCAGGCAGGACCTCACCGCCAAGATAAGGAGTTTGGAGCTTATCCCAAATGCAATGGAAAGTCCTGGGAAGAATGTAAGCAAAGGAAAGATTTCATCTTGTTGATCCGTTTAGAAGGTCACTAGCTGCTGAACAGACATGGAGTAGACACTTGACCTACAAAGTCAAGAACAGAAGCCAGGAGCTGGGACTAGGCAGGGCAGCAGGAGTGTGGAGGTGGGCTCAGATGGGGATCCACTTAGCAGAAAGTGTCCCCACGGTTTACTGAGGCGTCAGATGTGGGAGTGCAGTCGGGAGGACTCCTCCACTTGGAGCTGGCGTGCTCCCCCACCCCCACTGTAAGCAGAGCACAAAACAGCAGGGAGGCTTGGGGGTGAGCAATGAGCCTGGGAGGCGGTTGCTCAGAGAGTGGGGGTGGGGGAGGAGGGAGGGAGGGAAGGGGGCTGCGGGGGTGGGGTGGTCCCCAGCTGGGAGGTCCAGGCTCCGCTCCAGCTGGACCTGAGTTTGGGGCTCCAGGCATGGTGGCAGGCAGTGACAAGCACCCCCTTCCCCCCACCCCATAGAAGAGCAACGGCAGCACCCCGGCCTGCAGAATCACGCCCAGACCTTGCTGGTGCGCATGGGCGGCCTCTTTGTGCTGCTGCTGACCGTGGGCAGCTGGCTGGACCTCCTGGGAGTCGTCCTGTCCCTGCTGGGCGAGCTCTGGTGCCTGGCAAGCAGCCGCACTCTGCTGGACCTTTGCCAGGTACAGATGGGCCCTCCTCCCCGAGCGCCCCCCCAGACCCTGAGCCCTGCCGCAGACAGCTCAAGGAGCCTCAACACGCCCCAAGTTTAAGAAGAGCTGGGATGACCTTTCTTGGGGTGGGGCAGAAGGAGCTTCCTCCTGGTGTTAACCTTTGACCCCTCAGAGGTCCAGTGTTGGAGGAAGGGCCTGGGTAATCAGAGGTCTGAAGTCCCCCAACAGAGGATGGGGGAACTGAGTGGTGTCCTCCATCTTTCCCTCCCCACCTTCCCTCAGGATTTTCCATCCCAGAGGCCGACAGTGTCTGCTGCAAGGGAGTCCCAGCCCCAGCCCTCAGCAGCCACCCAGCCCCGGGGCCCAGTCCCCTCCTGACTGGCCTTAGCCAGGACTCGGAGTCTGTCTTAGGCCCACCCGGGCTCTTCTGGAGGCCTTGACCCCAGGGCACTGCCCGGAGGCAGAGGGGACAGGGCTGGCCCCCACCTGGAGCTTGAGCTGGGCGCTGGGGGCTCCTGGCAGGGAGGGTTTGGGGCTAGGGACCTCCGAAGGGGGGCACCAGAGGCCAGTGGGTGAAGCCCCGTTTTTCTCAGGATGGACAATGGGTATAACCCCCTCAGACCCTCCTTCCCCAGGGGGTTTGGGGCATGAGGGAGAATTGCGTCCTCAGAATGGCCCCCTTTACTGGCCTCCCTCTCCTCCTCCATGAACAATAATAAAGATGAATTTTCTCAACCTGTGCTTAGAATCATGAACATACAGAGAGGGAAAGAGGCTTTTCTGAGGCCACACAGCCCTTCTGACTGGGGCAGGTTCCGGGGATACATGCGGGCTGGGTTCCCTGGGGTTCAGGAGTTCCATATTGATGTGTCTGAGGAAGCAACGGGGACCCAGTGGCAAGGACTCATGCTCCAGCACCCACCTGCAGTCGTGATGGACAGTGTCCGTGTCCCGTCTCACCCTAGGCTGTCCAAGACCATGAGGGTCCTTGCCATCTCAGCCTCGTTCAGCCCTGTCTCTCCTGCAGGGCCCAGCCCAGGAGACCACAGAGTATCTGGGAAAAGGTTGGGTACCAGCTCCTCTGCTTACTTGCTGTGTGCCCTTGGGTGGGTCGCTGCCACTCTCTGAGCCAATCAGAAGAAAAACGGCCATGTGTAGGGTGCTTACCACGTGCCAAGCACTTTTACAATCTCATTTCGTTCTGACATCAGCCCCAAGAGACAATTACTGTTATCCCTTTTTAACAGATTCAGAAACAAGCCCAGAGAGGTTATGTAACTTCCTCAAGGTCAGAGAGCTAGTTAGTGGGGAAGCCAGGATTGGAGCCCAGGTGGCCTGCCCCGCAAAGTGCAAGTGCTTTGCATGCTTCCTGCTACCCTCTTCTCGCTGAAGAACTGGGGCCAGGGAAAACCAACAGAGGTGCACATAAAAAATATGGCAGATCCATTCCTGGAAGGTTCTGGAATGTGGTTCCAGTCACCTTGTGAGCAGAGTAGCCTGAGGCTACAGGGACTGAGGGCCCTTTTGGAGGAGGGGCCCCACAGGGCAAAGAAGACTCCTAGCTAGGGGGTGTCCTGGGGACTACGGGGGTCAGGTTGTCCGGGAGTGACAGAGGAGACACCAGGGAGGAGGTGAGGCGAGAAGATTCTTGGAGGATTCCAGGTTCTGGCGAGCCTCGCTTCTCAGCAAAGGCTACCACGGTCACCCAAAGGTGACTGCTTCCAGACAGACAGCATCTGGTATAGGATTCTCTGCTCCCCACCCCAGGGCACACCTGGGACACAGAGGCAGGCGGGCCCCAAAGTTGGACAGGATGGTTTCAGCTCCTTCCTCCAGAAATGGCCACCTCAAACCCAATCTCTGATCCCTTACTCTCCCCGCTCTACCCCCAGGAAGGCCTCTTAGCTCCAAAGTAGCTGAGGTGGGGGGAAATGCCTGTGGTTGCCCCCTCCCCCAATCCAGGGGAGCCCCCCTCTGCCTGGGAGCGTGTTCAGTTCCCTCTGGGCAAGAAACTTGCCCCAGTCTGAGAGGAAATGGCTCAGTTAGCTGGGCACACGGCCAGCCCTTGCCAGACCCAGACTGGGCACCGGGTTCCGACTCAGGCCCAGTGTTTTTGCTGGAAGGTCCCCTGGCCTCCTGGCCCCCAACACAGCCTGAGACCCTGTGGGGCCAGTGCTGGGAGGGGATTGGATTTGGCGGTCCTTTCCTTTTTATGGACACGGGGACCATTTCCAAACAAAAACTGAGCCACGTGGGTTGGAATAGGATTCTTTTCTTATCTATTAAATTATTTTTGTGAAAAGTCTAACAAGGGTATAAAAATTAGATCACTCTAAGTGAGGCATTTAGGAAATCTCCATACCAAACAAAGAAAAACAGGCCTGAAGTCCAGAGAGCAGAGGAAATACAGAAGGTCTGGTCTGGAGTGGAGTACACAGCTGGGACTCCTTCTCCTCCAGAGACCATGAGCTCCTGAATCCTGGGCCCAGACCAGCAGCCTTCTGAGGAGGTGGGAGACCAGGCTCCCCAGTCTCTACTAAGAGAGAATGGTAACCTCCAGCTGGGATTGGGGTGAGCCAGACTCCTCCCTCCTGAGCCCCTTACTTCTGGCTCTTCTGAGCTATGGCATTGCCCCTTGGGGCCTCCTGTGTGCCTTCCCGTATTTGCTCATTCACAAGTAATTCCTGAACATCTGCATGGGGCCAGGCTCTGGGCTAGAAAAGATGCAGAAGTAACAGCCACGCTACCAAGAAACAAAGCTGGGTAAGGCAATAGAGTGACAGGAGCTTGGGGCGAGCAGGCTAAGGAGAGTGTATATGTTAGCCACAGCTGCATAACAAGCAGTCCCAAAACTTAGCAGCTTAAAACAACAGATACTTATTGTCTCCCTCTTTTTTTTTTTTTGAGGGGGGTGTACTTGAACAGTGTGGGGGGCAAGAGGAGTGTGGAGAAGGAGAGAGAGAATCTCAAGCAGGCTCCATACCCAGCCCAACACGGTGCTCTATCTCACAACCCTGAGATCATGACCTGAGTCGAAATCAAGAGTCAGATGTTTAGGGGCACCTGGGTGGCTCAGTCGTTAAGCAGCTGCCTTCAGCTCAAGTCATGGGTCCTGGGATCGAGCCCCAGGTGAGCAGGGAGCTTCTCCTCTCCCTCTCCTGCTCCCTCTGCTTGTGTTCCCTCTCTCACTGTGTCTCTCTGTGTCAAATAAATAAATAAAATCTTTTTTTTAAATCTTTTTTTTTTAAAGATTTTATTTATTTATTTGACAGAGATCACAAGTTGGCAGAGAGAGAGAGAGAGAGGAGGAAGCAGGCTCCCTACCAAGCAGGGAGCCTGAGGCAGGACTCGATTCCAGGATCCTGAGATCATGACCTGAGCCAAAGGCAGAGGCTTAACCCACTGAGCCACCCAGGTGCCCCAAATAAATAAAATCTTAAAAAAAAAAAAAAAGAGTCAGATATTTAACCATCTGAGCTACCCAGGTGCCCCTACCGTCTTTTTCTGGGGGTCGGGTCCCACAACCTGGAAGGGTCCTCTGGCTCAGGTTCTCCTCACAAACCAAGTCAGGGTGTTGTCCAAGGCTCTGGTGTCATCTTAAGGTTTGACGCGGGTAGGATCTAATTCCAAGCTCACTCACATGGTTGTTGGCAAGGTTCAGTTTCTTGTGGGCTACTGGACCGAGAGTATCCTTTCCTCTCTGGCTGTTGGTGGGGGTGTCTGTCCTTTGTTCCTTGCCACATAGGCCTTCCCATAGACAGCTCACAATATGGAAGCTGGCTTCCCTCAGAGCAAGCCATGGAGGGAGAGAGAAAGAGAGAGGACAGCAGGACAGAGGTGACAGTCCTTTTGTAGCCCAATGTTAAAAGCAACACCCATTGTTTTTGTTGTATTCTATGTATTAAAAACAAGTATCTGAGTCTCGCCCACCCTTGAGAGGAAGGGATTACACATGGGCAGGGCAGAAGGTGTGGAACCTTGGGGGCCATCTTTAAAGCTGCCTTCCACAGAGGGCTTCTCTGAACGGACAGAGGGAGTAAGCTAAGCAAGATGCTGAGGGAAGAGCGTGCCTGGCTGAGAGAACAGCATGGGCAAAGGCCCTGAGGTGGCAACAAGCTGAGAGTATTGTAGAAACAACAGGAAATTTAGTGTGGCTGGAGGATCAGAGAGGATGGAGTGGCAGGAATGAGGTCGTGGAGGTGGGCAGGGACCATGTCACTCCAAGGTGGGGTGGTGACGGTTAACCAGCAGAGAGTTTGCACAAGAGAGTGATGTAATGTGACTTACATTTTTAAAGGATTCTTTTCCTAGCTGCTTGTAGAATAGTGCAGAAAGAGAAAACCAGTTTAGGAGCATTTAGAATTACCCACGTGAGATGATAATAACCCTGGGAATAACCCAGGGCTTGGACCAAGATGGTAGCCATGGAGGCAGCAGGAAGTGGCTGGATGGGATTGGATGCATGGATGTGGATGTATGGTGAAGAGCTCATAGGACTTCCTGATCAATTAGATGTGAATTTGAGAGAATGAGGTGAATCCAGGTCTCTTAGCTTTTCGGCCTGAAGAACCTGGTGAATGAGGTAGGAGGCATCGGGGACAGAACTGGACCCTCTCATGCAGGCGCCATCGGCGTTGGCGGGAAGGCCAGGCGTCATGACGTGTGATGAGGTCTGGGGCTCCGGGGGCCTCACTGACAAGGAGCTGTTGACCCTGAATCCTCAGCTTTCGGGGGAAGTTCCCAGACCAAGGCAGTGGTGGGGAAGCCTGGGCGCTGAGGCATCTGAGGGGCTCCAGAAAGGTCCGCGTGGCTGAGCAGAGGGGCAAGGGTCACAGCAGTGGGAAACGCTGTCATGGAGGCTGGCCATGGCTGGATCACCCAGGGTCACAGGAGGGCTTGGCATGTTCCCCCCAAAAGCAGCAGGTGCCCCAGAGGGGGCCCCGGGAAGATCACATGCTTTCTCTAGCGAAACAGTCTGGCCATCAGAGTGGAGATGTGTTATGAAGGAGTGAGAGCAGGGCCAGTCCAACTTTAAAGGTCCCCTTTAGGAAAAAGAATAAAAAATCGGTATTAGTGATAGAACGATAAAGAAAAGCACAAAAAATTGCTGGAGGCCTGCAGACTGGGTTCCTTCTTCTGACATCTCCCTGGACAGTGTGCCAGGAGCATTTAATGGAAAATGCTTCCTGAGTGTGATCTGGCTGTCTCCCCTCCCAGAACACTCTGTAACTCCCAGCAACCATCAGAGGGGCCCCAACAAGTAAGAGGCCACGCAGTCACCGTAAACCCACCTTGGCTAAGAGAGAAGTAGGGAGGCCAGCTGGGGGTAAAGAGGGGTCCCAGGGACTGTGGTGCTGAGACAGACGAAGCCAAGGATGGGGGCTCCCATTGGGGATGGGGGCTCAAGCAGGGGGACGGGGTCGGTGAGGTGTTTGGCCAGGCACTCAGCCTTGGCAAGAGGCCGAGGGCTTGGGGCAGTGCCAGGGACCTCAGGGACCTGACACCAGGATTTCCCCCTCTCTGTCTGAGAAGGATCTCTGACCTTTAAGGCTGGGAGCCCTCCATGACCCACCCCTCGCTCTGGAGGCGGTGCTGATTTGCTAAGCGATGGCAAACCGTGGGAACAAACCAGCCCAGACAGGGTCAGCTCCGGCCCCCAGACCAGGAAGGGATTAAGACCCAGACAATGTTGTCACAACCAGGTCTGGGAGGCTGTGTGGCCCAAGTGGCCGCAGGCTTGGGGCCTGAGAGGAGGGGAATTTATGTGGCTATAATGTGGCCCAGTTTGCTCCCCCTTGGTTTTTAAACATTTCCCTACACACTTGGAATTAAGCTCATTTACTAACCTTGTGACCTTGAGCAAGTTATCATCTGTGCTCAGTTTCCCCATTTGTTGAGTGCCCTGAGCAGATGGTGAAGGTCAGGCACATAGCCCGGAGGCTGACTGTGGGCTCCATTCCCCTCCTGCCGGCCCACCAAGGAATGATAACTCAGTGTCAGCCCTGCCCCTGAGTCAGGTGACAGGGAAGGAAGTGCTGATTCACTCAGCCGAAGCAGGAACCCATCTCAGGGGAGGAAGGGAATGATGAACCCCCCATCCTGTCCACTAGAGGAGCACATTTGCATTTCACTTGCAAGGAGCTGTGAATATGTCAACTCGTCTCTAGTCTCTACTGAGGAATAACAACCCCGTTCTATGGATTTTTCTTGCATTAACTGCCCCCAGCCTTCGGAGCAACCTGGGAGGAGTTGACTGTTTTCTCTGTCTCCTCAGGAGAAAACCCTAGGTATGGAGAGATCACATGACTTGCTCAAGGTCACAGAGCTAATAAGTGGGAGAGCCAAGATCCAAATTCAAGGAGGTCTGATTCCAAAGCCCAAGCCCTTGACAGCTCACCACCCATCACTACTTCTATGTGATTTGCCTATGAAGCTACTTAAGATCTCCAATTCCAACTCGTATGTTTCATAGGAATTACTAGGTCCCCACTATGCGCCAAGCATCATGCTGGGTGCTGGAGACCCAGAAAGTAATGAGACACAGCCCTGCTCCTAGTGTCATGGGGGAAAGCATAGTGGTGCATCCCAGCAGCCTTGGGCTACATCCAGGGGATGGACATGACTCCTAAGCCTGCCTGGAGGGATCAGGACAGGCTCCTCCCAAGTGGTGATAGGGACACAGTTTGCCAGAAGGAGGAGGTGGAGATGATCCAGACCCATGGGGCCTCACCAGTCTTCACCATGACTTTGCTTTAAGCAACAGAAACACAATTTTAACCTGTCGAAGACAAGGCAAGAAAAAAGAGAACTCATGGGCTCCAGAGGTCCAGAGTGAAGACTTCAGGCATGGCTGAATCCAGCAGCCTAAGTGATGAGATCAGCTGTCCCCTACCCTCTGTGTTGGTCCAAGTGCTCATAAAAAATGGTGCCAAGCTTGCATTCTGGCAGCCTGGAAAGATGCTGCCTCTTTTTTTAAATAGTTCCAGCCAGGCACAAAGAGTGGGGGTGGGGTTCCTCAAACAGAAATTAGATACTATGACCAGAATCCGGGGAAGTGATGCTGGCTGACAGGAGCCATGACATCCCTTGGATTCTCCAGTGGAACCAAGTCTCTGCCTTACCTTCAGCCCTTCGTTCATCTTGCGGGATCTCCCCAGACCTCTGTCCTCTACCTGCTGGGGAGAGGAAAGGAACTCCTCTTCGAACACCTGCCAAACACCAGGCGTATTTAGCTACATTCATCCATCAAATCCTCACAGTGAAGCCCAGGTGCCCCAAGAGGAAACTGATTTGCCCAAGGTAAGCAACTGACCAGTGGCAGAGCCAGACTCACTCACAGATCCTGATTTGACTCCTATCTGTGCTTGACTGGCCACCGGCCCCGCCGCCGTGTCAGGGATCTCCCGCTTCTCAGAACTGCTTCCCCTCCTGCCTGGCCCGACACTCAGTAGGTGCTCAGGGAATAAGTGTTGAGCTGATCTGACTCCCAGAGGGCAGAGCAGAGGATGGAGGAAGGAGCAGGGGCAGGACGGCGAGGCCCAGGGAAGCTTCTGAGGCTGTTTGCTAAGAAGTGGACATGCAGCCCCACCCCGGATGTACAACTTCATGCGGCTGTATACCTGGGCCCCACCCCCACCAAAGGTTGGGGCTCCGATCTGGCCCCCGTGGAGGGGGTCAAGGGGAAGGGCCACTGAGCAGGCAGATGCTTCCCTTCCTCAAGGTCTCAGGGCCAGTGGGGGCTGTGTGGTTCTGGGAAACTTGTCCCAGTTCCCGGGTCTAGTTGCAAAGCGTATGGACTGTGTGAACAGAGGCGAGGGGGATGTGAAAACAGCAAGCAGTACCATTGGTGGGCAAGGACCCTGGGGGGTCCTTTCAGCCCCTCCATCCCTAACAATTCCGCAAAAGGAAGCATTCATGTCTCCAGGGGAGGGTATCTAATCCAACCCCCTGTTTTTATTTTTGTTTTTGTTTTTTTGAAAGAATTTACTTTTAAGTAATCTCTGCACCTAATGTGGGACTCGAACCCATGACCCCAAGACCAAGAGCTGCATGCTCCCCGCACTGAGCCAGCCAGGTGCCCCTCCCTTATGTTATAGGTGAGGAAACAGAGCCTCAAAGAGGGAAGGAGCTTGCCCAAGGTCAGAGCCAGCACCAGAATGCTGGGAGTTAACCTGAAATCTGAACTTAAAGCCCATGTACTGGGTCCCTGGCCCCGGAATGCCCTCCCCTCTTCCTCTCACAGCTGCTCCTCCTCTCTCAGCTTAAGTGACCTGTCCTACTCTCCCCACACCTCTTATTCTGTGTCGGCCCCTGATTCATTCGTTCACAGCACACATCACCATTATATTATGGTCACGGTGATATCGTGGTCATTATTATATTAGTTTGTGTTAACGTTGATGTCCCCCACCTTTCCGTAAGTTCCGTGGGAACAAGGATTGTGCCTGACCTGATTCTGTTGGGCTCCTTGACTTGTTTTAGCACAGAGGTGCCCAACCAAAGTTTGTTGGATCAAAGCCTTCTTTGGGCAGCAGGGGCTTGTTCCCCTCAGACTGGGCAGCAGCAAACATCCACACTGCCCTGGTTCTGTCCCCCGAACCTCTCCCCCGACCCCTTCCCTGCCACCCTGGGTCTCGGCCGCCACAGCCCTAATAAAAGATTGAGCCGCTTTGCTCAGCTGCTTGGAAGAGAGCTGGTCTAAGGCAGGCAGGACAGGAGGAGGGAGCATGGGCTCTCTGAGCCCGAAGACAAAGGGTATGTGTTCCCATCCAGCACACTTCCTGGGTTTCCCTTACAGGAAGCTTGGCACCTGCCAAGGTGACACGGACACCCCTCCGCCCTCTGGGTGGGTGTGGGGTGTGGGACCGCCTTCACCAGAACACTGTTCCACCCAGGCACAGCGACAGAGGTGGAACAGGTGGCCAGGGGTGCTGGACAGCAGGTGAGTGGTGACAGCTGGACCCACCACATAGCCCTTCCATCTTCCCCCTTCCCAGCCAGTCTTAGCTCCCAGCAGATGCCTAGAGGCCTGGGCCCTAGAGGGAGTCAGTGTGACTTTGGATGAGCCTCAGATCAACTTTTGGTGCCTCACTGTTCCATCTACGGGACAGTGAGGTGATATCATGGCTCCGGGGATATCATGACAACGAGGGAGGGCAGCCCCATTTTGATCTGTTTTAAATAAGCTTCTGGGTCACGAAACACTTGAAAAGGGGACTCTAGAGCTTAGAGCATTTGCAACCCCCTGGATCGCACCTTCCTCCTTAAGGTCCTTCCCATCCCTGGCAGTCAGCAGCCCCCTCCTTCCTCCTGGGGAAGTCCTGGGGCAGTGTGCTCCAAGCAGTGGTGCAGGCTGGGGAGGGAGCCTGATTAAGGCTCCGGCAGCCTGGGGTCTGAGTCTCCTGGGCCCCACAGGGCTCTACAGGCCTCAGCTTCCACATTGCGGTGGGGGGGCGGCGGGTAGGTGGAGGGTTCCTCTGACCCTGGCTGGCTTGGCCCTCGGGTGTGGCCTTGTGCCTCTCTGGGCCTCAGTTTCCTCAACTGAGAAGCAGGAATGACCATTCCTGCCACACAGGGCTGTCCCGGAGGTTCTGTGGAGAGATCTATACGTCAGGCGCCTGCCACCTGGGATGCCTCTACCTGGGGCTACTGTTGTCGTTCTTATGGAGTCCCGAAAGGCTCGAAAGTGGGCAAGGGATTGAGAAAGGCTGGGATGAGGAGGAGGAGGAGGGGTGGGGGAAGGAGATGGGGTACCCAGGTGCCCGCCTCACAACCTCCATGAGCAGCAGCCCCAGAGCCATCCTGGCCAGGGTGACTGCAGCTTTGGCCCCGGGGGAGAGCTCGACCCTGCCTGGCCTGCCCCCAGATGGCGCTGGGTCCCACACTCCTCTGGCCTCAGCAAAGGCTTTAATCAAAAGAACAATCTGTTTGCCTCTGAATCAGACCCAGATTCCTTTTCCCAGCAATGTTCCCCAGGCCTCCAGGGACCCAGGCGGCCCATCCCGGCTCCATCTCCTGTCCCAGGGCCCAGGCTCTGCTTCCTCCTCCCCCTTCTCCTCTGGCTTGGGTCAGGGAGTGCAGGAGGTGGGAGGGAGTCAGAGACTGGAACCAGGGTTGACAAAGCAGGTGACCCGGACTGCCTGCTGGGTCCTGTCTACCAGGCTGCCTGGGAGCCTGTGCCCCTCCCCCCTCAACCCCCTCCCCGGGGTGGGGACTGGGACCCCACTGCGGAGGGCTTAAGGGTCCACCCAAGCAGTGATAGCAGGTCAGGACAGCAAGCTGAGATGACCTGCTCCGCTGGGCATCTGAGACCTCCAGGCAGAGTCACCCCCTAAAAAAGCCCACTGACGACCAGTGCTCTTCTCTCTGTCAATGCCGTCTTTTATCTCGGCTGAGCCCCAGCGGTAAGCAGCCTTTACCCCCATTTTACAGATAAGAACCTGAGACTCCAGGAGGCGGAGTGCCTGCCCTGGGGTCAGGGAATTGTTAGTGAATGGCCCGTGGAACCCGGGTCCACCTGACACCTAGGACCCTGGGAGATCTCAGGCCAGACTCAGGTGTAAGTACCCTCCCCCGCCCAACCCCCCAACACCCGACGGCGCAGGTGGGGCCACCAACCCAGGAGACGTAGGGAAGGAGGAGGGGAAGGACGGCGCAGGGCGCACAAAGGCCCCCGGGGGTGGGCAGCCGGGGAGGCCTCCCACCCCAGGCCCGGGCCCAGAGGAAGAGAGAAGTGGTCCAGGGAACAAAGGGCGGGCGCCGGGGGGCGGCGCGGGGAGCGGCCTGGCAGGTGGGGGGGGGCAGGTACGGGCCGCTTCCGCCGGCCGGAATCCCGGGCCCCCTCCCACTAAGCTTCACCTTTTATGGTAAGGCGGCCGGGGCGGCGGGGCGGAGGGAGCCGAGGGGGCGGGGAGGGCGGAGGGGGCGGGAGGCGCCGCGCCGCTCGGGGCTCAGCTCGCTCGGGCGTCCGACCGGAGCCGCTGCGGGCGCGGGCTACGCAGGTAAGCGGGGCGCGGGGCGGGGGGCGCCGGGCGAGCGGGGCGGCCGTCCTTCCGTCCTAGCCCCGGCCACACACAGGTGACAGCGCGGGCGGCCCCGGGCCGGAGCCCCTCCCCGCCCCCCCGCCGGGACCCCAATTCCGGCGCTCCTGCAGGGGGTCCGCGGGAGGGCGGGGGTGCCGCCTTGGGTCCCGGCCCCGGTCTCTGTCCCCGGAGCGGGGGAAGGGCTGGTGTCCCTGCCCCGGAGCGGGACGCCGGGGGAAGAGGTGGGCAGGGCGGAAGCTCCCGCACAAAGAGGACAGCGTCCCGCACATGGATCGAATTAAAGTCCCCGGCGGCGCCCCACAGTGACCCGGCCAGCCGCCCGGCTGGGCTGCTTGCGGGAGGGCGCCGGGTTTCCGGAGCTCCAGGGAGCTTTGGGCCCCTTCACCCAGCCCGGGTCAGGCGAGGGCAAGGAGGGGCCCCAGGGCCGCCCCTCTCTGGGCCTCAAATCCCGGTCGGGGGCTGGGAAGGCGTGTGCCGTGGGGCATCTTGGCGGGGATCCTCCCCAGCCCTGCTCTGGGGACCCTGGGAAGAGCCCGGGCAGCTCCCAGATTCCTGCTCTTAATGACGGAAGCCAAGTCGAGTCCTCTCAGGAACCACCCCCCCCCCCCGCCCGCCCCCAGGCCAGCTTGGCCCCTGGGGGCTCCTCCCCGTCAGGGGATGGGTAACCAACTGGCCTTCTCTTTGGACCTACCTAGGACCAAGATCTGGAGCGCTCTCTCTCCTTGGATTCTCTGAGCCAGCCACCTTCCAGGACAGACTTTTTTATTCTCACTTTAGGAAAAAACTGAGGCCCAGAGAGGGCCAGTAACCTGCTGTGGGTCACCTAGCAGGGAAGAGGTGGGGCTGGGTGTGACTGCAGCTCCCTGTGTTTCCTTGGCTTCCTTGAGGTGGGGGAGAGGGTAAGGGAACCCCTACCCAAGGCTGCAGGGCCCTCTGCTGGGTGTTGGCATGGTCTCCCTCCCACCTCCAGCAAAGTGTCATTCTGAACCAAGCGTAGATTGCTTTGTCCAAGTATTAGAGAACGAAGCTTACAGGTGGTTCCAGAAGTTTTTGGAGGGGGTTAGAAGGAGTAGGAAGGAAGGGAAGGGGGGGCCACTACCGGGACGACCGCCAGCTCAGCCAGCCTGTCCCCTGCCCTGGGCTGCAGGCTAAAGCTGGGCTGGCTGGCTGGCTGGCTGGATCTCAGCCTCCTTCCTTCCTCTTGACAGGAAATGACTTTCTTTCCCTTTGTTCCCACTTTCTCTGCTTACCCAACTGGATCTCAGATTCCCCCTCGGCGGAAGGATGGGGGCAGAGGGTCTCCTGGGTGCGGCTGGCCAGTAGCCCCTCAGGGAGCTTTCTCCCACATACCCCTCTCTGGGGTGACCTGGGAGCAGTGGGACCTGAAGGAGGCTGAGGCTCTCTCTCCTAGCAGCCCTGGGCCTGACTGACAGGCTTTGAAAATCCCCAGGGGCCAGGGTCGGTGGGGCTTCCCCTGGGGCCTGAATTCCCTGAAGGAACCGCAAGGAGGGATGAGGGGGGTGTGAAGCTGGCCAGCTGTGAACATCTGGCGTCAGAGCTAGGACATTTGCCTTGGATGTTTTCCGAGAAAACCACAGATCTGACTTCCCGGAGGGGTGGGCTGGGGTGGAGTGGGGGTCAGAGCAGGGTCGGTGGGAGGTGGAGGGGGCATTCACAGCAGTCTCTGGGGATAAGCCCAGAATGCACTGGCCACAAGAAAATCTATCTGGATTGGGCTTTTCTGGGGTGAGAACAGCCCCAAGGATTTGGAGGCGCCCGTACCATCCAGGGAAGGAAAAGTGTGTCATCTCAGGTCCAAGGACACTCCCCTCCTCCGGGACTCGGGTCAAATGATGCTCATTTAGAATTCTGAGTCTGCCAAGGCTGCTAAGATGACCTGGAAAAGTCCCTTAACCTCTCGAGGTGTCCCATGGAACCACCTGTAAAGTGGGGACGTCAGGGGCTGTGTTGCAAATGAGGTGTGTTTAGAGGCTCAGAAAGCGCGAGCCGCCGTGCCTGGCACAGAACCGGCCCTTGGTCAGCCGGTGGCCTTGCTGTCCTTTCTTGGATGTGAGTCTCTCAAAGCTGCTGACCAAAACAGACTCTCAATCTGGTAACAAAGTGTAAAGCCAAAGTGTCAAACCATACAGTTTTGGATGACGTACGACCAGGGCGGCTGAAACAAGCAAACGTATATACTCCCAAACATCCCTTACCGAACAAGAAACAAAAGGAAAGGACTTGAAAAAGAACTTTTAAAGCTTTCTTCGGACATTGATTTCTTTCTTACTTTCTTTCTTTTTTTTTTTTTTTAAAGATTTTATTTATTAATTTGACAGAGATCACAAGTAGGCAGAGAGGCAGGCAGAGAGGGGGAAGCAGGCTCCCCGCCGAACAGAGAGCCCGATGCGGGACTCGAATCCGGGACCCAGGGATCACAATGCAAGCGGAAGGCAGACGCCTAATGACCGAGCTACCCAGGTGCCTGCACCCGACCCCACTTCTTGATTATCACTCGCTGGATTCCTATTTATTCTCTCCACACGCCTTTGGAGCCACATCCAAGTGGCTCAGCTGGAGAGTGGGTTAGAAAGAGGGGAGACCCAGCTTGGAGACCCAGCTCAAACTGGGCATCAGCCCTGGGAGCAGAGGTAGAACCTTTGACTGAATGTGGTTGACTTGCCTTCGCCTGAGACCCAAGGGGCCCCACCTCAGCCTTGGCCTTGGAAGCAGCTGTTTGGGGTCACCACCTGGGGGATGGAAAATGGGCTCCTTGACATCAGGAATGCTGCCCGGCTTCCAGATCCGTGCTCTGATGCCCACGTTGGACTGGGGTCACAAAGATTACAGGCACAGCTGAAGTCACATGCAGTCACTTGGGGAGGTAGGGGCAGACGTGGTGACAGGGTGCCGACATGTCCCGTGATGGGCTGTCATCACCCTGAGGAAGCAGACGCTGCTCCCGGGAGGGGGTCAGGAATCACGGGAGGCTTCGTGGAAAAGCTGGGCCTCTAAGAAAAAACGGACATTCGCCCTGTGGGGGCAGGGGAGGAAAAACAAGGGGTGGAAACTCTCCAAGGCTGGTAAGAGAAAAAGCTGGGAAAGGGGCAGAGGTCCAGGGTGGTCAAAAAAGAAATCGAAGGGCACCAGGTTGGCTTAATTGGAAGAGTGTGCGACTCTTTATCTCAGGGCTGTGGGTTCAAGCCTCGTGTTGGGCATAGAGATTCCTTCAAAGTAAAATCTTTTTTAAAGAAACTTTTAGGGGCACCTGGGTGGCTCAGTGAGTTAAGCCTCTGCCTGGGGCTCGGGTCATGGTCTCGGGGTCCTGGGATCAAGCCCCACATTGGGCTCTGCTCAGCAGGGAGCCTGCTTCCTCCTCTCTCTCTCTGCCTGCCTCCCTGCCTACTTCTGATCCCTGTCAAATAAATATATAAAATCTTAAAAAAAAAAAAGAAAAGAAAAGAAAGAACGTGGGCCTGGATTCAAATCCCGGCTCTGCTGCTGAGTGACCCTGAACAAGGGACTTCACCTCTCTGAGCCTTGGTTTCCGCGTCTGCTGGGACAGTCCTAGCACCTCACTCCCAGCGGCCCCCAGGACTTGGAAGTGAGTGGGTAGCAAGTGCTTAGGACGGTGGGTGCACAGTAGGTTTTGACCCACCATAGCTCGGATTGAACTTCTGTCCTCTCCGCCTCCTGGAACCCAGCCCTGATGCTCTGACAGGTTGCGCTGTTTCCTTCTCACAGCAGAGCTGGCCTGGACCCGCAGGGACTTTGACCCCCAGGGGAGAATTGGATCTCAGGTGAGGGAGGTAACTGGGGTGTGGCCCGGTGACAGGGGGGCGGGGGGACTGGAGGAGCTGCTCCCTCCTCACACTTCTCGGATGAGGAAAATTAATCATTTGTGAGGTGAGCAGGGCAGGGCTGCCCTTTGCTTCCCCCTCCGTGGTCAGGTTGGGGGGAGGGACAGTCAGGACTGCTGGGTCCCCTCCCTGTGGCCCCGAGTCACCTGGTGGACACCTGCCCTCCCCCACAGGACATCCCCAGTCCCTTCTTTGTCTCCGCTGGGGCCCGGGCGAGGCCCAGGGGAGTGGACGCTCCTGTCTATTAGGAGAAGGGAGACTCCGGGCCCAGAGATGTCTGTCTGTCTGTCTAGGTGGAACACAGCCCTGGGCATGAAGCCCTGCCCCAGCCTGAGCCACACTCTGTCCCCAGCCCCACCAGGAACCGAGACAATGGCCTCAAAGCCGGAGAAGAGGGTCGCCTCGTCTGTCTTTATCACACTGGCCCCCCCGCGGCGAAACATGGCCGTGGCCGAGGAAGTGAAGCGGGCAGCTTGTGAGGCCCGGCCTGGCCGTCCCTGGGAAGCCCCTGCTCCTGGGAAGGCACCCGGGGCTGGCTCAGCAGGGAGGCCCAGCCCCTGGACCCCCCCTGCCAGGGGGGCAGCCACCAGGCCAGCAGTATCCCCTCAGCTCTCCAACGGAGGTAAGAAGGTGAGGGGACCAGGCAGGAGGCTGTGTCAGAGGCCGCACGGAGGCGGGGAGGAGGGGACTGGCTCTGGGCTCTTTCAGGCATCCATTCATTCCTTGAGCACCTACTGTGTGCCAGGCAGACTCAAGCCCACCCGCGCGGGTTTGAACCCTGGCTCTTCCACTTGGCTGTGTGAGGTTGGCAAGCCACATACCCTCTCTGTTCCTCTGTTTCCTAATCTATAAAACAGGCATCACGATAGTACCTTCCTCAAAGGATTAGGGGAATTAATACATATGTTTGGGTCTGTGCCTGTCATGTAGAAAGTGTTAAATAATGTGTTACCCACTGTTACTCTTCTGGGCCAGACACTTGGGACATGAGAAGAAAGACAAGTCTTTCAGCCTACATAAAACTTAAATCCTTGCGGGGAAACATGAACACAATACATAATGTTGGGGAGACACAAGGGCTCTACACAAGCAAAACACAGAGAAGAGGTGGGAGGTACCAATTTTTTTTTTTTTTGAAGATTTTATTTATTTGAGAGAGAAATTGCAAGAGAGAGAAAGCATGAGCAGAGGGTGTAGAGGAAGAAGCAAACTCCCAACTGAGCAGGACTCGATCCCAGGATCCTGGGATCATGACCTGAGCTGGAGGCAGACGCTTAGCTGACTGAGCCACCCAGGCGCCCCAGGAAGTACCACTCTTCCTGGGGCAATTAGGATGGCTTCTCCCAGCAGGTGACATTTCAGCTCAGCTAAGACCTGAATGACAGGATAGAGCTGGCCAATGGGAACAGCAAGTGCAAAGGCCCTGAGGCAGGAACGAATCCGGCATATTGAAGGACTTCAAAGGTGGTTTTATTCTCTCTTGAACTCTGCCATTCACTTGCTATGTGGTCTTAGGCAAGCAGTTGGTTTGCTTGGTTTCCTCCTCTGGAAGGTGGAAATTTGGTCATGTATGTGACGCATCTGTCACAGAACGGATATACTTCATACAAGGCTGTTCCTTTGCCTTGTGCTCAGCTCTGCTGCCATGACACCAGAGAGCCTTGGAGACTCACTCCATGGAGTCTTAGCTGTTGGTTGGGTAGAAACAAGGAAGGAGGACAACCCAGGGGCCTGGGGCAGGGGGATGGCTCTCCTTACAGGACACCAGGTGGAATAAGGAGGCACGGAGATGACTAAAATGAGCCCCTGGAGTTCCCCCGGGTGCTGAGTCAGGGGTTCTGCTGTCCCCGAGCAAAGTTAGGGTAGCCCCGTGCATCCGTCACCACAGAAACACCCTAAAGACCAATAGGAACTGCCAGTTCCAGGGGCCAGAAAAGGGCAGGAGACATAGACACTCATGTAACATGCCTCTTCATATGATACCACCTTATAAACTGATCTCTCCTTCCTAACCACTCATCCCAAGAACACGGCCTCGTCCAGGAGCTTCCATATAGATCCAAGACCCCAATGACCAGAATTCACACAGCAGGATGTGTGATCCAGTGGGAAAAAATGACGTCCCTTTTGGGTAGGAGAGGGAGTCCAGAATATATAGTGTAGACACCCCATTGCCAACATTTCCACGACGTATTCATGGGTTGCTGGAATACCAGAAGGTCTTGGGAGTGTGGTAACAAAAGTGGACCTTCCCTGGGAGGGGGGGCACCTCGCCGTAGCTGGTCAGCTGGTCCACCATTTTGTTTGCCAGTGGGGCACACAGGCAGAGCTCAGGGAATCTCGGGGTTCAGTCTCGCCTGAGTGAGACAAGTTCTAGGCGAGCATCTTGGTCAGGAGTCTGGTCTGACCACAGCACAAAGCGGGCCCTGGGGCCACGCCAGCTGCGGCTGTCATCTGACACCCCAGCCAGTGCTTGTCTTGGGAATCCACACATGGGTGTTTTTTTTGTGGTTTTTTTTTTTTTTTGGCCCTTTCATCCTGAGAGAGGTCCCCACCTTTCCCTCCCTCCATCCCCACTCCCTTCTAAAAGCCCACATGCACAAAGCCTCACCAACTCGCATCCAGAAGTCAGTTTTTCTCTTGGCTTCTCTTTGGAAATCTGCGCTTCCTCCTCCTGCTCCTGGCCAGGGGATCCTGGTTCAGCTGGGGCCCCTCTGCACCCTGCCTGCGGGCCTCCAGCTGCTGCTGCCCGGCTTGAGTTCCTGTCCAGGCCCGGACCCAAGACAGGTCCCAGGAGAGGCCTGGGGGCTCCGGCTGCCTTTCCGAGATCCAGTTCCTGACTCACTTTCAGCTCCTCTGGAGCAAGCGTCTCACACCGGCCTCGGGAGGGGGCTTGTTCAAACACAGCCTGCAGGCCAGGCCCCACCCTGGGTGTTTCTGATTCAGCAGTGCGGTGGGGGCCCCCCCAGAGAATTTGCATTTTCTTACACATTTCCAGATAATGCTGATGCTCCGGTTGGGGGACCCCGGTCAGGGAGCTGTTCTAGCCTAAAGGCCTTAAGCAAGTGAAGCTTGGGGAGCAGAAGAAAAGTTTTCCAAGGGTGGTCTTTAAACCAGCAGCGGCGTCTTTCACCTGGGAACTTTTAAAAAATGTCAATTCCCAGGCGCTTCCCCCAAACCCGCTGAGTCAGGTGCTCTGGGGGTGGGGCCCACCTTCGGCACCAGAGGATTCTGTGGCTTAGTCATGGGTCTAGAATAATCCTCCCATCCCTACCGGCCCTCAGTCCCTGGGAGAAAGGGGAGAGGCTCATTATCTTTGTTGAATGGATGAGAAACCTCTAAGCCCAGAGAAGTGCCCCAGTGAATCAGCAGCGAATGGGACCAGAGCCCCATTGGGTTTGGGGGTGCAGGGCCTGGGCACTTGCTGTCTGCTTTCCAGGGGTATCTAAGGCAGTCCTACCTTGTGAGGCCTGGCCTACCTGGCCCCAGAGATAGGAGGGGAGCCGAAGGCTGATTCAGACCAGACTCCCTGTCCTTTCTCCCCAGGGCACTATGTGTTTTTTTTTAAAGATTTTATTTATTTGGCAGAGAGAGACACAGCAAGAGAGGGGACACAAGCAGGAGGAGTGAGAGAGGGAGAAGCAGGCTCCCCGCCGAGCCAGGAGCTGGATCCCAGGACCTTGGGATCATTGACGTGAGCCCAAGGCAGATGCTTAGTGACTGAGCCATCCAGGTGCCCCTCCCCGGGGCACTATTAACAGCTCTGGCAGCCATCAGGCTTTTCAAGGCCGGCTTCCCTCCTGTCCCCCAGTCACCTCCTCCGGGGGAGCTGGGCAGTGCCTTGGTGGAACAGGGGTGGGAGTAGCAGCATATAGGGAGCTGGTCCTGGACAGAGCAGAGCCTGGGGCTGTGGCCAGAGCTGGGCTATCCTCAGCCGTCCTCCTCCCTCGGTCCTCCCTGGAGCCCCGGATCCAGGCCCCTCCCCTTCTGTGAACCTCTGTAGACTGCAGCTTTCCCACAAAGAATTAAGCTCTTCTGGGGTGCCCAGAGAGGCCTGAGTCTCAGGTGGCTCAAGTCAGGATCACGGGGTCCTGGGATGGAGCCCCACATCCCCTCTCTGCACAGCGGGGAGTCTGCTTCTCCCTCTTCCCCTGCCTGCTGCTCCCCACTGCTTGGGCACGGGTGCTCTCTCTCTCAAATAAAATCCTTAAAAATAAAAATCCTTAAAAAAAAAAAAAAAGTTAAGCTCTCTTGCACTAACCATGAAAATAATGTCATGCGGAGGTGTTTTTCTTATGTATGTACGTGTGTTTGCTGTTGAGTGGTTCTTTTTTTTTTAAAGATTTTATTTATTTATTTGACAGACAGAGGTCACAAGTAGGCAGAGAGGCAGGCAGAGAGAGAGAGGAGGAAGCAGGCTCCCTGCTGAGCAGAGAGCCGGACGTGGGGCTCGATCCCAGAACCCTGGGATCATGACCTGAGCCAAAGGCAGAGGCTTTAACCCACTGAGCCACCCAGGCACCCCGGGTGGTTCTTTTTTTAATTTAGTTTTTTTTTTTTCGAGAGAGGGAGAGCATGCATGTGAGTGGCGGAGGGGAAGGGGCAGAGAGAGAGAATCTTAAGCAGGCTTCGTGCTGAGCCTAACTTGGGGCTCCATCCCAGGACTCTGAGAACATGACCTGAGCCCAAATCAAGAGACGCTTAATGACTGAGCCACCCAGGCGCCCCGGGTGGTTCTTTTTAAAAAAATTTTTATTATTTATTACTTTTTTAAAAGATTTTATTTATTTATTTGAGAGAGAGTGCATGTGCACAAGCATAAGGTGGCAGAGGGAGAGAGAAAAAAGGAGAAGCAGACTCCCTACTGAGCAGGGAGCCCCATGCGGGGCTTGATCCCAGGACCCTGAAATCATGACCCGAGCCAAAATCAAGAGTCAGTCACTTAACCAACTGAGCCACCTAGGCACCCTTGGTGGCTGTTTTTAAAATTTTTATTATTTATTACTTTTTAAAAAGATTTTATTTATTTATTACATCGGAGAGAGAAAAAGCACAAACAGGGGGACCTGTTTGCAGAGGGAGGGTAAGCAGAGGGAGAAGCAGACTCTCCTCTAAGCAGGGAGCCTGATATGGCGCCCAATCCCAGGGCTCTGGGATCATGACCTGAGCCAAAGGCAGATGCTTAACTGACTGAGTCACCCAGGCGTCCCTAAAGTCTCTTAATTCCAGGGAAGTTTCCCCTTTCTTTTTCTCTCACGTGTCATTGACTTTTTGCAGAAAGTAGGGTCAGTTTCTGTAGAATGTCCCTGGTTTTTCCCTTTGCTCCCTTGGTGCCCCATTCAACTCACCCCCTCTCCCAAATTTATCATAAGTGGAGTTAACTCTGGAAACCTGATGAGATTGGGTTTGGTTCTTGCTTATGTTTGGGGTTTGTTCTGGTCAAAACATTCCATGGGTGTACCCTTACCTGTCTACAACCTAACACGAGCCTGAAGACCCCTGGTATCTGCCTGGGGTTGATCCATGGATTCAGGTGGTGACAGTCTGACCCCTCTTCTGGAAAGTTCTCCGTCCGCATTTCATCCAATGCTTTCAACACTCGATAGGCGTTACCTGAATCAGTTATTTAACCTAGATGGTGGCTCCCACACCTGAGTGGCCTATCGTCACTGGGAGGGTTTCTCCTGCTGTCAGTGGCTGCACACCCCCACCCCGCGCCCCCCCGCAGGTTCCGATTCTCCAGATCCAGGGCAGATCCAGACGGTGCGTTCCTAGACATAGTTCCAGGCACCGTGGCTGCTGAGCCAGCAACCACACTTTGAGAGCCGCAGCCTTAGGGGCTGAGTTTGCTTGTACTTCAACAGGGACCTTCTAGCAAGGATTTGGGGCCCTCAAGTGTCCAGGTAGGGAGGGCTGTTATGGAAGGTTCTGACAGCTTCTGTTTTCTGAGCCCACACCACGTGCCATCTCCCGTGCCAAGTCCTTCCTGTTCTCACAACAGCCCGGAAAGATTGATACCCATGTTTCCACTGAGTAAACAGACCCAGAGAGGTTAAGTGTCTTGCCTGAGGACACACAGCAAATCAGCAGCAGAGGCAGAGATGGAACCCAGGTCTGGGGGGCCCTGGACCTGAGCTCTTGGTCCCCATGCTGTATGGCCTTCTGGGTAAGTGCACACCTTTTCTGTCCACCTGCAGAGACTCAGACCAACCCTCTCTCTCCTTTTGGTTGCAGGGTGTTCTCTCCCTCCTCCTCCCTTGGATGGTGAGGACGCACTCCCCGACCTGGACCTCCTCCCTCCTCCACCGCCCTCCCCTGATGAGCAGCTCCCTGCCTCGATGGGAACATCACTCATTTCAGACTTAGAGCAGCTGCATCTGCCCCCGCCCCCGCCCCCACCCCAGGTATGGGTCCCCCCACCCCTGTGGAGTCCCAAGGTCCCCAGGGAGGGGGAGGGGGACGGAGAGTCTGCGTTGTCCCTCTTCGAAACTTTCAAGCTGGTAAAAGCTGATCCTGCTTTTCAAGGTCCCTGGAGGATGGGTGCCATACCCTTTCCCCCTCAGTTACCCCCTTTCAGCTCTGAGAAGATAATTTTAATCCCCTGCCCTTCATAGAGGCCATCGTAGTAACGGGCAGGATTCCAGGCTAGGGAAGAACGATTCCAGAAGATTCTTCAGAATTGGACGGAAGTAGCTTGGGCCCCAGCCACTACCGTCAGCCTTCCAGCGGAGCGACATTCGGTCGCTTGCCTCTCTGTGCCTCAGTTTCCTCCTCTGTAGAGCGGGGCTAATTGTGCTTGGTGCCATCAGAGGACGAGCAGAGCTGAGAGGGCTGTGTGGGGTCCCCACTGGGTGACAGCTCCCCGGCCCTCCCCCTGTCACCCCATAGTCCCTGATGGAGACGCCTCCGCCCCAGCCTCGGCCCGGTCTCGCCAGGCCTGTGGAGGACGAGCTGCCGCCTCCCCCAGAAGAAACAGTCGGCTTCCATGAGAGGGAGGCGTCCACAGGTACGGGCTCAGGGCTGGAAGACTTCCAGGTGGTCCCCAGCGGCCCTCACTGGACACGCAGGAGCTTCCGAGTGGGAACTAGGAGGGCGGGGGGCCCCCCCAGCGTCTGTCCCACTCATGGTTCAGCCATGCGCCTCATTCCTGTACATCAGTTTTATGTTTATTACCTTAATCTTTTTCCTTTATAACTAAAATCCATTTTTATGCTATTTAAAAAAATATTTTTATATTTTATTTATTTGAGGGGGGGAAGGGAGGGGCAGAGGGCAAGAATCTCAAGCAGACTCATTCCCCCGAGTGCCGAGCCGGATGCAGGGCTCAGTCTCACGACCCCGAGATCATGATCTGAGCCTAAGTCAGGAGTCGGATGCTCCACTGACTGCGCCCCCCAGGCACCCCGAACTGAAGCCCATTTATGAGACTGACGCGCTGCCTACTGTGCTAAGGAGGCACCTACTGAAGCCCATTTAAATATCGGTCAGCGAATTGTGCTATGATAGCAAAATGCCTTGGATTTTTTCACTGTTTAAATTTTTTTTAAGATTTTATTTGTCAGAGAGAGAGGGATCACAGGTAGGCAGAGAGGCAGGCAGAGAGAGAGAGAAAAGCAGGCTCCCCACTGAGCAGAGAGCCTGATGCGGGGCTCGATCCCAGCACCCTGAGATCATGACCTGAGTGGAAGGCAGAGGCTTAACCCACTGAGCCACCCAGGTGCCCCTCACTGTTTAATTTTTTGAACACATGGTGTTCTCACATAGACAAAATAAAAAGAACAGAAAGACATACAGTGCAAAGTCTCCCCGTTGAGTCATCTGTGTGTCTCCCGCTTTCCTGCCAGATGGGCAGCCTCTGTAAACATCTCCTGTATCCTTCCAGAGACATCTTATGCATATGCAGGCGGAGTCTGGGCCCCCCCCCCCAGCCCATTTTCCCACAAATTGTAGCGAACTCTCAGCTGTTCTTCTGCACTTTGCTTTCTTTCCTTCAAACACCTTAGAGCTCACACCACACCCGAACATAACGGGGCTCCTTTATCACAGCTGTATAGTATTCCTCCTGGGGCCCTGCTGTATGCGTGTAGCCAGCTGCCTGTGGACGGGCATTTAGGTGGTTTCTTGCTCTAACAGGTAAGGCTGAGATGAACTGTCTTTCACGTGGGTCATTTTGCCTGCGTGCGAGTTTGTGAGAGAAATTTCTAGAAGAGGAAATACCAAGGCCAACGGGTACATGCGTTTGGTCCTCCCGATCTGCACCACTACCCCCAGCAGTGTCTGAGGGCATGACCCCCTGCAGCCTCCCCAGGCCCGTGTCTTAGCCATCTACTTAGCACCTGCTAAGTGCTTACCAGGCACCAAAAGCCTTCTCTACTCCACAGTTACGATATAATTCTCTGGCTTCTTCTAGTCTTATGGTTTCAATTGTCACACTTAGATCTTTGATACATTTGGAATTATCTGGGCATAAAGGTGTCACCATGGAACCTCCTTTAAATTTTTACAGATGGTAACCCATGTGTCCCGATTCTGTGTCCTTTAATTTAGGCTTTTTTTTTTTTTAAGATTTTATTTTTAAGTAATTTCTACAGCCAACAGGGGGCTCAAACCGACAACCCCGAGATCAAGAGTCGCACACTCCAATGACTGAGCCAGGCGGGCGCCCATCCCCGATTTAGGCTTTCAGGGGCTTTTCACATTCCTTTTCATTGCTCCTAAAAGGAGGCCACACTCCCAATCCACCCCCACCCCCCACCCTGGGGCTCAAGGCTGAGACCTAGCACTTTAGGCTTATCCTGGGCAGTGCCTGGGGGCAGTTCTCCTAGGCCGGGTGACTGACAACCGGTGTCTCCTCCACCCCAGATGTCTGTGCCTTCTGCCACAAGGCCGTGTCCCCCCGAGAGCTGGCTGTGGAAGCCATGAAGAGGCAATACCACGCCCGGTGCTTCACGTGCCGCACCTGCCGCCGCCAGCTGGCCGGGCAGAGCTTCTACCAGAAGGACGGGCGGCCCCTCTGCGAACCCTGCTACCAGGTAACCCGCGCCCCCCCCCGCCCACCACGGGTGGCCTCCGGGCACCAGGCACCGTCTTGGGCCCTTGGAAGGTATCCCGTTATTTCCTTCCCCACAGTAATCCTGGGAGGCAGGCGCGGGGACCCATTTCACAGATGAGGACATTGAGGCTCAGTGAGGGGAAGGAGCTCAGCCAAGGTGTATTATTTTTCTGTGGCTGCTGTGGTAAATCCCCACAAACTTGATGACTTCACGCAGCACCCATTTATCCTCCTACGGTTCCGGAGATTGGAAGTCCGTGGGCAGGTCTGCACCCCCTCCGGAGGCTCTAGGGGAGAATGTTTCCTTACCTTTTCCAGCTTCTGTAGCTGCGTCCCTTGTGTCCCTTGGTTCCTTCGTCCACCTTCAAAGTCAGCACAGTGGCGTCTTGCTTTGGTGTCCTACTTCCTCCTGTCAGTTCTCCCGCTGCCTCCCTCTTACGGGGACACTGGGGATAGCACTTCGAGCCCACCCAGGATCCTCTCCCCATGTCAAGACGCTGAACTCAATCATATCTGCAGGTCCTTTGGCCATTAAAGGTAGTCACGGGTTCCAGGGATTAGGACCTGCGTGTCCTGGGGGCATGGACGCAGCCTGTCACACACGTCACACTCTGGAAGGTGGTGGAAGGTCGGGGGCCTGGGCTTCTCCTCCAGTGCTGCCCGGTTTCTGGAGCCCATGCTCTTGCCTCTCTCGCCTGAAACCACAGTTTCGAATGCACAGAGGAACCTGCATCACCTCTGAGTACCAGAGGCCATCTGGGAGAGCTGATTTGGATGCCATGATGTTAGAATTGCCAACCTTCTGATGGCATGTGGTGCGCAGCCCGCTCAGACGTGTCCCCTGGCTGTGTGCGGACCTCCCCTTGTTCTCATGAGTCGGTAGCACCTGGGCGTCTGTGTTTTTAACAAGTCTCTCGGGTGATTCTGATACACACACTGCAGTTTGAAAACGACTGATTCCAAGTGTTAGAATATTTGGAGGACTAGCTAGTAAACTCCAGACAATCTGGTGACCGTCTCAAGACATCACCAAAGTCAGGAGGCACCGTGGGAGCAGCAAGGAGCCAGGCCATCCGCACCCCATCCCTCTGACCCCATCAAATGATAGGGGGAGATAGCCTTATCCTCTTCCCTCTGCTTACAGCCAGGCACGGGTGAGGCACTGAGGGTAAACGGGCGAGGGTGTGCCGACAGCTGGAAACAGCAGGTGGAAGATTCTAGGCAGTGTTCTAGGGAGAGAAGGGCTGCCCCCAGGACAAGGAGAGAGGGGGTTCCCACCAAGTGGGAGCAGAGACCAACACACCTATCTGTCGGGATGAAATCAAGTAAAATGAACAGGAGCCCAGCCAGGAAGGGAGGGGACCAGTCTAGAAGAGAAGGTGGACAGGCTGGAACGTCTTTGCTCTGCGTCAGTAATATCTCTCTCTCTCTCTCCCCGCTCCCTCCCTTCCTTCTCCCTCCTTCCCATTCCCCTTTCTCACCCCCCTCATCCTCCTCATTCCAGAAGGGATCTGAGGAGCTTGTAAGAATGCACAAATACCTATAGTAAATGGTGTTGTACACTTAAAAATTTGCTAAGAGTATAGATCTCATGTTAAATGTTCTTACCATAATGAAATTTCAGAACTAGATAAATCAGAAGAGAGGAAAACCAAAGTAGAAAGGGGGATGAGGCCAGAGGGAAACTTAGTACCCCAAAATATATGGCTAAAAGAACCCTATAGTCATTCCTTAAAGCGGGGCACAGAATTTGACTCTGAGCTTCCCAGTGGCCAAATGGAAAAGGGAAAGAGTTTTGAAATTTATTGTCTATAAGATCAAAAGCACACCAGTTCTTCCTGGAATTCCGTTTCCTGACTGTGAGGTTTAAGAGAAATTTCCCCTATGGGCCCTAGTGGACACTGGCCATAAGCAGGTCCTAGTAACAAAAAATGCAGTAATAGCTCCTTGGCAGGATTCCTCACTGTAGGCCCAGGACAGAATGCTACGCTCGATTCACTTTAACCAATGGTAGAGGTTTTGGGGCAGTGGCTACAGGTCGGTTGCATGAGCGGGAGTCCTTCTCTATAGCCCTGTGCTTCTAGGCCCCTGTGGGTTGCCAGCTAGAAACCCCTTGCTGCTTGGAGTAGGCACAGCCATGGGATGGCTCTGAGGCAGTGTCCCTCTGTGCCAGGACACCCTGGAGAAGTGTGGCAAGTGTGGCGAGGTGGTCCGGGAGCACATCATCAGAGCCCTGGGCCGGGCCTTCCATCCTGCCTGTTTCACGTGCGTCACCTGTGCCCGGTGCATCGGGGACGAGAGCTTTGCCCTGGACAACCAGGAGGAAGTGTACTGCCTGGACGACTTCTATAGGTATGAGCGGGGGTCTGCATGCTGGGCAGGACTCGGCCAGAACAGAGAAGCCTGGCCCCAGCTCTAGGGGCTGGAGCAGAGCATTCCTGCAATTTCTGGGCTCGCAGAAACCTGTCTGCCTGGTCCACACACCCCATATTTGACCACACACCTGCTTCTAGCTGAGACCCCACATACCTGCACTGTGCCGGGCACTTCACGTGAGTTAGGCCCTTTAACCCCCAAGCCCGGCCTGTCAGGCAAGTACTATTAAGCATTCTCTTTTACCAACTGTGGAAACTGAGGCAGGCAGCGGACAAACCTCTGGTAGGTATGGAAGTTCCGATTCAAGCCCTGAGGCTGCAGAGGCTCCCCTTGGAGCTAGAGCCTTATGAAACCGTAGCCCCAAGCTAGGACACCTGTCAGGCTAAGTCCCTACACTGGGGTTGTACACTGCCCAAGGGGAGAGACAGCTGTGTCTGTTCAAAAGACAGGGAAAAAGAAGAAGCGTTGACCCACAATACCAGATAAATGAAAGGGGGGGTCAGCCCCACTGAACACACATGAGATTTCTTGCCTTTCTAAAATTCAAAAGTTCCCCAGTCACTTCCTTGCCTCGAGCTAATTATACCCTGGGAAGCCGGGTCTAATTACACCAGTCTCTCCATCCGCTCCTGCCAGGAAGAAAGAGGCTTTGTGGCTGTGGCTGCAGGTGCAGTCACATGGCAATGCGTCCAAAATAGCTCGGGGAGGCAAACTAGCGCCGCCCCCGCTCCCACAGCTAATTTCTGCGGTCCTGGCCAGAGCGCCTCAAGCATGGGTTCCCCTCCCTCTAGGAAATTTGCCCCTGTGTGCAGCATCTGTGAGAACCCCATCATCCCTCGGGACGGGAAGGATGCCTTCAAAATCGAGTGCATGGGGAGGAACTTCCATGAAAACTGCTACAGGTGTGAGGTGAGTGGGGTGGTCAGGAGTCAGGATCACGCTGCTGGTGGCCCCCTGCCGCCCCCAACCCAGCCCTGCCGAGAGCCCACGGGATGCCAGTGCAGCGCTGGGCGCCGGGACACGGGGACGAGTCAGGGTGGGGGCTCAGCTGCCAAGTGCTCACCGCCCAGTAGCAGAGACAGATAAGAATGGAGATCATTAGAAGCAGTCTATTAATCAGAGCTCTGAGTTAATGATAAAAACCAAGCTCAGGGCCCCTGGGTGGCTCAGTGGGTTAAAGCCTCTGCCTTTGGCTCAGGTCATGATCTCAGGGTCCTGAGATCGAGCCCCGAGTCGGGCTCTCTGCTCAGCAGGGAGTCTGCTTCCTCCTCTCTCTGCCTGCCTCTCTGCCTACTTGTGATCTCTCACTCTCTGTCAAATAAATAAAATCTTTAAAGAAAAAAAAAAAACCCAAGCTCATCCTGCTTTCCTCAAGAAAGGGAATCTCATTGATGAGATCATCAGGGCATCTCTCCATCTCTCAGTTCTGCCCATTTTGTGTGTGCGCTTCATTTTCTCTTCCTGGGGGCTAGCATCCTCTATGAGGAGAGGGATACAGGCGTGGTCGTCCTTCCAACCTAGAAACCCCATCAAGGAAACTGGTCCAGTCTCAAGAAGTCCTCTGATTGGCCCAGCTTGGGTCACATGAGCCAATCTGAGCCAATCACTGGCCGGCGGGCTATGATGGACAATCCCTGAGTCCAGGAAAGCAGGTCCCCAGGAGACGGAGGAGGAGTTGCTACAAGCCTCGGAAAGAAGAAAGGGATGCTGCAGAGTGGAGGGAAGCGAAGATAGGAAAGCTGAAAGCTGCCCAGCACAGGGCACCCACCCATCCCCCGCCCAGCTCAGATTCCCCTGCTTGCTTCAAAGCTCTGCTATCACTGTCTTGAAATTCTTCTTCTTCAAACAAGGGGCGCTACTTTGCCCTTTGTCCTGGGCTCTGCAATTATGTAGTCAGTCCTTCTAGGGAGACTCCGAGTCCTTCCCTGCCTCTTCCTCTGTCACCCCCATGTTGCTGATGTGTCTTCTCTGGTGATGGTGACAAAGGTAGCAACCTTTTTTTTTTTTTTTTTTTTTTAAGATTTTTATTTATTTGATAGAGATACAGCAAGAGAGAGAACACAAGCAGGGGGAGTGGGAGAGGGAGAAGCAGGCTTCCCATTGAGCAGGAGCCCGATGCGGGGCTCGATCCCAGGACCCTGGCATCATGATCTGAGCCAAAGGCAGACACTTAATGACTGAGCCACCCAGGTGCCCCAAGGTAGCAACTTTTATGGTGCCACCTAAGTGGGGTGTCCCAGAGGACATCTCTTAGCCAGCCAGTGAGTAACTCCAAACATTTACCTTACTTTGCCGTATTTAAACAGATGCATGGAGCCAAGAGGCTGTTTGCGGTCAAGTGACAAGGAGGCTTGGTGGAGAAGTTGATACATTGCTCCATATTACGTTGTGCATTGGTTGTGGTTCAAGGTCCAGCTGATAATACATCTTGCAAGAACAATGATGTCATTTAAGTGCTGTTTTCACCACCCTAGCCCTCATTAAGCCCCATAGTGATTAGCTTTTCCCTGAGCCTGGCTGGTGAGCAAACAAACCCTCCCTGCGTGCCCGTGGTCAGCTTGGCGAAGGCAGCTGTAAGCATCACCCAGGCTGCTGCTCTAAATCCGGGCTCCGGCTCTAGCAGTTACATTTTAGAGGGGAAGGCTTGAACCACTGTGGCCCGGAACTGATCCGGAGTGCTGTTTCCCCAGACAGAGAAATGGGCTTCAAGGTGCCACCTCAGATGAGGAGCAATGGGGGAAAAACACTGGGCCTGAGAAAAGTGACTCCAACTCTGGTCCATCAGACCCAGTTCTAGCCAGCTCTGGGCCACCCCACAGCTCCCTCACAGACTGTGACTCCATCATAGATGAGGGGTTTTCTCCCTTGATTCTAATTTAGGAGAGGTCACATGTGCCCTTTTGGGACCTGAGGTTTGGCACTTGATACTCCAGAATGCCGAGCAAGTAGCCTTTACAAGAGTACGGATCCCGTGACCTTGTATGACTTGAGGTGCAGTTGCAGGGAACAGACACACGAGGGCGCCCTTCTCCTCTGGCTGTGCTGTGTTAGGATGGCAGCTGGGACCCCAAAGTTGTCTCTGTGGGGACCAACGGCTCTGGCCTGAGCCATGCAGCTTCCAGAGGTTGCCAGCTGAGCCCTGATCCAGGTCTCCGGACATTTTTTTTAGATTTTTTTTTTTTTTTGACAGAGGTCACAAGTAGGCAGAGAGGCAGGCAGAGAGAGAGAGAGGAGGAAGCAGGCTCCCTGCCAAGCAGAGAACCCGATGTGGGGCTCGATCCCAGAACCCTGGGACCATGACCTGAGCCGAAGGCAGAGGCTTTAACCCACTGAGGCACCCAGGTGCCCTGAGGTCTCCGGACATTTAATCGTTCCCATTATCGCACTCCAGCGTGTGTCCAGGGGAGGCCCCCAGTGAGGTGCGGGCAAAATGGTTAAGTGGGCAAATTTCAGGCCCCGAATCCCCAACCTCCTTGGTCCAAAATCCTTTGGTGATTTGAAAAATTGGAGGTTTGTGCCAGTGTCGAAGCTGTGCAGACAGGGCTCAGGCTAGAGACCTGTCCTGTCCCAGTCCAGAACCAGCTGCCCGGCCTGGGGCGAGCCCGTCGTTCCCTAGACCTCAGTTTCCCCGGCTGTGAAGTGATGGGACGGGACTTGATTCAGTAATTCACGCAGCAGACGGTTATCGTGGGCTCGTGGGTATACCAGAGTGTGACCTAGGCAGGATCTAGCAGGAAATGGGGTCACTGCCTCTCAGAGCCAGCGTTCTAAAAGGGCTGCTGCTGGGCGATTGCTAAGGCCCTTCTAGCTCTTTCCGAGATCACTCAGTGTCCTCAGTTCTCCCCCTGGCTGACTCCGCCCTCATCGCTCACACTTCCCTGTGGATGGAAGCCCCCATGGGCCTCGTCTTCCCTGCCCAAGTCCGGGCCCAGGTGTGTCGGGAGGATGGAAATGAGGAGCCTCGATCCTGACCCTCCGGGAGTACATCTGTCAGTTAATTTCATCAGCAAGCGCGAGGGGGTGGGGGTCCGCCCCGTGCAGCCTCCGAGCCGCTTGCTGGGGCCTGGGGTCCATCCGCTTGTGCCTTGTTTCCCGCAGGACTGCAGGATCCTCCTGTCCGTGGAGCCCACGGACCAAGGCTGCTACCCGCTGAACAACCGCCTCTTCTGCAAGCCGTGCCACGTGAAGCGGAGCGCCGCGGGGTGCTGCTGAGGGCACCCGCCGGGGCGGGGGGGGCCTCTCCTGACTCAGTTTGCCTTTCTGACCCACACTTGCATACTTTCCTTCTGAGCCGGGCCAGGGACCGGCATGCGGCTCTGCCCGCCGTGTTGGGGACATGGGGGCTGAGCCACCCCAGGCTGAGCCCCCTCCCGCTCAGAAGTGGGCGGTTGGCAGATGGTGCTTCTCAGACTTTCCACTCCTCCTCTAGCTTCGGGCTCTGGAAGGCTTCCATAGCCCAGGGCTCCCATCTCCGAGGCTCTCGCCCCTCTCAAGCACTGGCCTTGACCCTCACTTCCATGGGTGAGTTGGCATGAGTTCTCTAGATGATACACTGTGTCCCTAGCAATGACACTTTAGCTGTCCCTGTAGGAGATACTAAGAGCAGCCCTGGCTTGCAGGACTGAGCTGTTTGGGTAAACCTCCAGGGTCCCTTAAAAAGCCCCCCCCCTTTTTTTTTTAACAAATTTGAGATTTAAACGGTGAGAAACATTCTTTGGACTTGGGGCGAGGTGGGGATCTTGGTAGGAAAAGTCTCATAAATGTACAAGAATGTGGCCTAGTGGTGGCAGCCTTGGATGTCTCACCTGGAGGACATGTCATGCTGACGTGGGGACCAGGTATGAACCTGAACAGTAGGAGCGGGCGGAGAGGGTGGTATACGCTGACATACCAGGGACGCTGGCCACCCCTCTGCCCTGCCTTCAGGCGTGCCTCCTGGTGCCACAGTGATTCGCCATTAAGTGCCGGTTGTCCAGAAGCTCTGAGTGTCCCTCCAACAGCCTTGACCGGGGCTGTGTACGCAACCCCCCACGCATGCACACACTCTTACGGGACAGGACTGGGCTGTCCCTTCCGCCTCCCTGTTTATCCCCCGCTGTGTCCCACTCGGACCCTCCAACCCAGGCTACCCTGTGACCACTGCTTCCGAAAGGCCGTACCTAGAAGATTCTTCTTCTCTTTTAAGGAAAATCACTTCTGTTGCTTCGTAACTTCTGAGACGTCTTGTAGGGCATGAACAAATGAACCAAATAGGTTCTGTAGGGCATGAACAAATGAACTTTCTTCCCTGGAGTGGTCTGGGTGCACCACGCTCTCCTCTGGGGATGCCCTGGGTTCCAAGTACTGGGAGGGTCTCCTTTTGGAGCCCCTTAGGGGCCTCAGAACTGAGCCCAGCTTCTGGCTCAAAGCTTGGAGAGTGAGACCCAATCTACGGGCATTCACGTACCACCTCCACAATTCTTGAACCGAGGACCTCCTGTTCTCTTCTTCCTTAATATTTTCTTTGACTCAACATATTTTTTTGTTTTACTTATTTCAAACTTTAGTCTTATGCTAAGCAATATATCCTGCCGTCACATCTTATGTGCTAGTTATGTTTTTTCCTATTACACGTGAAAATAAACGCGTACCTATTCAAAGTCTGTCTGTGTTCCAACTAAGATCTCCAGGGAAATGCTGGCCTTCGGCAGTAGCGGGAGAAATGTTGGTTGGGTGTCTGCTCACTGTGGTACGAGTGTCCAGGCGGCGCCTGTACCTCGTTCCCCCAAACTGGGGCTCAGCTCAGCAGATGGGGGGACTCGTGTCCCTCCCCCTGCCCAGCGACGAAGACTTACCTGCAGCAGCCGACCCCCAGGCATGCTGGTGCACCGTTCCCAGACACAGGCCACCAGCAGCAAGAGTGGCTGCAGGGTGTCCAGAGCGGGGCCTCTGTTTTGGGGGTCCCTCCAGGGCCGGCAGATCCTTTCACAGAGTCAACATCTCCCCTTGGGTTGTGCTGTCTGCACACGAACAGAACGTCACCCTCCACCCTCGCAGGGACAGCCTGGCTCGCTTAGTGAGCATAGCTCTGGAGAGAAGAGTGCATGGAGTAGTGGCCTTGGGGGTGCTCAGACCTGGCTCTTGTCCACTCTTAACAGTGTACAAGTGAAGTCCTGAGCCTTGATTTTCCTCATTGGTAAAATGGGAACAATGCTGACCTTTATCGCAGAGGGTTGTTGTGACCAAAAGAAAGGAGTATCAGGCAGGTGAGGGTTCACTCCCAGGTCTGGCTGGCAGTTTTTAGCATTCATCGCTGGCCCTGTGATGCCCATCAGAGACTGCTGGGGACACGCCCGCAGCGACAGAGCTGGGTGTCCCATGCTTGCTGCGGCACTGGAGGCCACATGGCGCAGGGAACCGCGGGGCGTCTCCCTACGCGGGCGTTAGTGGGGACTCCCAGGACTCCAGGATTCTCGCTGGTATTGAGGGATTTGGGGGAGGATTTAGGGAGGTGAGGGTTTGGTCCTTTGTGCTGTAAGAAGCAGGGAGACAGACTGAGAGGTGTGATGCATTTGTATCCAGCAGGCTTGGTAGGCGACAGTGGCTCACGGCAGAAGATGCTGGCCATTTTTGCAGGTGGCCCGGAGTCACTCAGCCCTGCTGGTCCCCGGCTGCCAGGGGCCACTTTGCTCTCTTAATCACCACACTCAGTTTGGTTTGGCTTTTCCTATCATGGATACGTAACCATGCACTGGGATTCCTGTGTTCCAGTCTGTTTCTGGCTGGTTGTGTTTGGAGGGATGGTATCTGGATGAAATTCTGGGGATGCTTTTGTCTTCCAGGCTGCGTGTGTAGGAATCATTCCATAAGGGGACAGACTTCTGGGGAGAGTTCTGCAATGGGAAATGAGCCCGTCACAAAACCCCAAATACTCTGTTATTGCCCTTCTGTGAGGTACTTGGCATAGCCCAAATCACAGGGACAGAAAGTAGAAAGGTGGTTGGTTAGGGGCTGGAGGGAGGGGGAAATGGAGAGTCATTTGGTGAGTACAAGCTTTCAGTTTGCAAGACAGCATGTTCTGGAAATGATTGGAGGAAGTGCTTTAAAAAAGCCGCGGGGGGTGCCTGGGTGGCTCAGTTGATAAGCATCTGCCTTCAGCTTGGGTCATGATCAGGCTCCCTGCTCAGCAGGAAGCCAGCTTCTCCCTCTCCCACTCCCCCTGCTTGTGTTCCCTCTCTAACTCTCTCTCTATCAAATAAATAAATAGACTATTTTTTAAAATGACAATTAAAAAGCCACCGAACTGGACACACTTTTAAATGATTTGGATTCATTTAATGTTATGTATATTTTACAATTAAATATATGCATAAGTATATTTAATGCTCAGAGACGGGGAGAGGGGCTGACAAAGGGACATAAAGATGTAGGAGTCCTGGGGCACCTGGGTGGCTCAGTGGGTTAAGCCTCTGCCTTCGGCTCAGGTCATGATCTCAGGGTCCTGGGATCGAGCCCCGCATCGGGCTTTCTGCTCGGCGGTGAGCCTGCTTCCCTCTCTCTCTGCCTCTCTGCCTACTTGTGATCTTTGTCAAGTAAATAAATAAAATCTTAAAAAAAAAAAAAAAGATGTAGGAGTCCTGAGAGACCATCCTCCGGATGGGGGTGCCCAGGAGGCCTGGCAGTAGCTTTCTGCAAACCCAGTGGGATATGCCTCAGCCACGGGGACTTCCTGAGAGCAGGGCCCAGCCACTAGAGGGCAGCATGGGCTAGCGAACTGGGGCACCAAGGTTCTCACGCCCCTAATGGGGTCCTCAGCCTCTCCAGACGCAAGATGGGAATAATCCCTGCCTACCGGTGTGGAGAAGAGGAGAAAAATGAATTGGGCAAGTAGGGAGTGAGCCACAGGGCTGTGGAATTACTGCACAGACTCTTGGAGGGAGACCCACGTTGGAAGACAGTTCTGCCCAAACTCACACCTGCAAGGAAGGAGAATCCCACCTGGGAACTCGTGCTGCCACCCCTCCAAGTCGATGCCTGGGAGTCTGGACTCAGGAGCCCAGGATCCCAGGATCATGACCTGGGCCAAAGGCACACGCTTCACTGACTGAGCCACCCAGAGGATCCTGAGCACGCAGCTCTGGATCTCAAGGTCCTGAGTTCAAGCCCCATTTTGGGTGTGGAGTATCTCAGTTCACAGACAAGGAAGCTGCACAGCAGAGAGGCGTGTAACTGCCCAGGGCTACACAGCAGAGTCAGTGCCAAACCAGGTCCAGCGTAAATCACAGGCCCACAGAAACTACAAACCCACATCACAAACACCCACCGTCTAGAATGTTCCAGAACCCATGATGTAACACAGATGCCAAAATCCAGCTGAAAAATTGTATGTCAGCTATACGTAAACAAACCAACCCAGAAACGTCTAGGGCCCCTCATCTCTTAGGCTCCAAGCCTGTCCCTTGCAAGTGAGAAGCAAGGTCCCCAACTCATTCAGAAAGGACCTGCGTTCGTAGTGTGTGAATCATACTCAGCTCATGACTGAGCATCAGATTAGAGACCACGGAGCGTAACCTGGTCACGGCCTTCCTTCTGCAGGAAAAAACATGTACTTCAGTGGAAAACTATGTCTGCGCCCAGCACACCCTTCCGGGGTATCCGATTCTAGCCTTTCTTTTGTTTTTTAATTTGGAGGAGGCTCCACGCCCAACATGGGGCTTGAACTCACCACCCCGAGAGTGGCAGGCTCTCCCAACGGAGCCAACCAGGCGCCCCTTAGCCTTTCATTATTCTTTTACAACTGTCAGTTGTAGGCAACTGACCCATTCCGTCTTGTCTGGTGGAGGCCCCTTCACCCGCTTGTGGAAAACCGGTTTTGCCTCCATGGGCACATTTACTTCCATATTCCTGGCCTATAAATGTGCCTGTTCTGTTGCTTTTTTGAGCCAGTGACAACATCTGACCCAGGTTCACTCCGTATTGGCACAGGAGTCACGGTTTTACCGTTTTTTAGAAAATTATCTGTAGCACTTCCTTCGTCGGGTGTTTCCAGATGGCATGTTTGGCTGGGGCGCCGGGGGGCGGGGGGTCGCTGGTGGGGCAGCTCTCTTTGGTGAGTTCAGATGAAACAGGCAGCTGTCCGCCCCCCAGGAGCCCTCTCCAGTCTCCGAGTGAATCCCAGAAGGGGGCTTTGCCCAGGTGGATGGGACAAGGTCTTAGCAACATCTACACACACTCTCTCTCTTCCTCTCTGGCTAAGCCTCTAATCAGCTATTTGACCTTGAGACACAACCTCGTCAGGCCTGAGGGTAAGGAAGGGCAGAGTA